CCAGGAACCAGTGGCTGATCGGTCTACGAACTAGCTCGCCTTGTAACCAGAAGGTCTTGAGTCTTAACCATGACTGTGGGTGCGTACTGCCAAAGAGTCCCAGACCAGGCTGACGAAGCAGCTGTCCAGTACTCCCTTGTGGGTTTTCCAATGGTTCTCTAGCCGATGTCAACTCATAATGAAATCCTTCAACCAATCAAAGTGAGTCCATTCAAAACAAATACTTGAAAATATGAGTTTCTTTCGGGTCTTGCTTAGTTGTATCCTCATTTAATGAATACTGAGCATATGTCTGATGCCAGACTAAATGAGCTTCACTCACAATATATTGTTCTGCATATTTCATTTCGCCTATTGACAATATTCTTATGAAATACATAATTTCCAAGTGTCAGTTTCTCAGCGGTTCAATTAATTTCAAGTCGGATCAAGAAGTGAGATCACCTAGAGAACCAGTGAGAACCGAGAATTCTCAGACATCTCTTTCCCCATAGTTTTAGATGCATCTATCATCTATCAAGGATCGAGTCTAGAACCTCCAAGTTGTGACGGCACAGGAGTAGAACTCGATGATCTATGAATTCTAATTTCCAGAGCCACCGCCACGCAATACAGTATCATTGGTGAGCATTTGTACTAACACCTGACTTGATGAAACCCACTGGTCAAAACCGACTGCTAGAACTCCGGACAGTAGTCAGTCACTACTGTGAATTAGATCTTATTTAGTCGCCACAGTATCCTGATGCTACTTTCTCTCCATTCCTGTCTATCTTCTACAAATTTCGATTGTGCTGCATATATATGATTCCATGAGTTCACTATGCTTTACCAAGTCAACATATTGAATCACCTACATATCATGATTATTTTTTATTATTGTTCCGTACTTTGATTCCTAATTTACTAAAGTTAATGTTAAAATTGTATTATTAATAATATTAATGTTAATGATAAAACTATTAACAACTTTTACTATGTTAGTTGGTTGACAATAGAGATATCGATCGACAAAATAGAAATAGATCCTTTTTTATCCTATTCTATGGGTTGTTGATATAAGAAAAGAACTTGTCCACTGCGGTAGAGTATACTCCCATTAAAGGTAAAATTTATTTTGATAAAGTCCAGCAGTGTTACATCTACAGTAATATTTACTGATGACCACATTTCAAACACAATTTGTTGCTGCTCATAATCATGTCAAGGCACTACTCACACAACTTTCTAACTTCGTTTATGTAATTCCATTATTTTCAATCGCTTGACTTGATTGGTAGTAGTATTTTCCATATTTCCGGTATGAGTGATCAGTCATTCCTATTACAGGTGTCGGGTACAGACTCGATGAACCAGGAAGGATTCAGTAATCAATCTCTCTCTCCACCTACTTAGATTACTTCTTAGAGTCTTAACCCTCTCCCACCCTGTTGTGTGGCTGTGTGTTAATGCATGCAGTGCAGTGCAATTGCTGAGCTTTTTTCTAAATTACTTATCTTCTCGGGGTCAACGATTCTTACCTTAGCTAAATTCTTATGTTCTGACAGACAATTTGACTACCCCTGACCTACTAGCTTGACCTGTGTAGTTGACCTAACTCACAGTCATTGCAAGGTATTTTGTAAATTATATTATTTCGTCTAATTGGGTCAACCTACAGGGTCCTTTAACCTACAGGGCTTGTTCCTGAGTGAGTTTGTAAGTTTAAGTGCCACTCTAATTTCTCCTTTATTAAGAATCCTGCGTAGGGCCTCAGATGTCCCCTCCTTATGTGGCATAATTGTAGATGCCTTATATTCTCTCTTATTTATGTTATCATCATTAGTTTCACCATTATTTTTAGTTGGCTTTTAACCTTTTCTCACCTTCCTAATGAATTTTATAGGATAATTATTTGATACTAACGTTTCTTCTATCTGTTTTATTTCATCGTTTAGGTCATTTTTTGTGCTACTTAATGCTACTGCTCGGTTTGTTAGACACTTAACTAAGCCTGCCTTTACAGATAGATAACGGATGAGATGAATTAAGGTCTAAATATCCATTGCAATCCATTAACTGTTAACTGATATATGCATATTTCATTATAATAAAGGTTTTTGTATTTCCCAATGAATGAAAAACAAAACGATATTGTTTTTACTGACGTTTCAATATTTAATGCTAATAGCTTTATCAAAGTATTGTGAAAATAATTGACACCTTTTATTCGCCTTTAAAATTATTTCTCCAGCTATCAAATAATAATTTTGCATAAGTTGTAACTATTTTCTAATCCTATGCAATTTTGTCTCTAAGCCCCTTGTAATCTATATTCGTAGCTTCAAAATTTCATATTAAGTTGAAAATTATTATCACCTTCGTTACTATGTGGAATTAAACGAATAAGAATTGTATCCATGTAAACTAATTTATATAAATGCGATTGTACAGCTTTTGAGAATGAAATTGCCGAAAAAATCGCCATCTTTGCTGAACTTCTTGTTCTTTTCAATTTAATGTTCCGATGGGTATTTTCCACGATTCAAATGAAGAGACAAACATGATAACACAACAAGCATCATTCATCATCAGAAAGAAAAATTCGAAGGAAGTCGCCTCTTTTGCTTACCTAGTCAGGATCACTTCAACTACAGGCGGTGGCGCAGATGAGGATGTCAAAATTACGATCGGAAAAGCCAGACATACAGTCAATAATCTGAAATAATTTTCAAGACTTACTTTGTAGGGATTCGATTAGTTTAAAGTTTGACCACGGAGTGAGACATCGGTTAGAGAACCACTGAAAACTAATAGAGAGTATTTGACAGCTGTTTTGGTCTAGTTCTTTAACTGATATCTATGGGAAAACTTAGAGCAAATCAAATCCCTGCAAAACTAACCCACTTGAAAATTAATCTGATGCACGCTACAGGATAAAGAAGTTGCCTGGAGTGAGTTCCAGTGAGAGGTCGTAACCTGTGGGGTCAACCCTGGTCAGGAGTGAGGACAGATACTCGCCTCGCATGAAATTAGCTGGTGGTGTTGGTAGCGTTAAAATCACAAATTATTAGAAGTTAAAATTCATGCAGCTGCCAATCAGTCGGATGTGTCCCAATGGCTGAATGGTCGTTAACGAGCTTGACTTGTAAGCAGAAGGTCTTAGGTTCGAAACCTGCTTGATGAGTCCTGGACTAGGAAGACATAGCTGAACAGTACTGCAGTGCTGGTTTTCAGTGGTTCTCTAACTAATATCGATCAGTGATCAAACTTGAAACAAATATGAAATAAGTGTGGAAATCAACTTCACTCAACATAAAGAATAAGACCCGGATTTTCAACACTGATGTTAGGTTAGTTCTTCTATGTATTACAGAGATATGGCGCACGCGTAACTGAAAGCGCTTTCCAACAGGATACTTCTGACTCTTATTAGTAACATATGGAGATTGTGAAATCATACTCTTACAGACGTGACATCGACCGTAACAATTCCCTACACAGGTTTCACGTCGTCTCTTATGAACTTTTTATCTAGACTAGAAGATGAAGCTGAGTAATCTGAGATTTCAGAAGCAGTACATTTATTATCTACAATAAGACCCATTACAGCGATCTCGAATAACCTCACCTATCAAAATAGACTTAATGAATTCATCTTTTCAACATCACAATTTATAAAATGACAAAAATGAAAACGTACTCCAAAGGTGCACAAACCTTCTTACTACCTCAATATCCTAAAATCCAAAGTAAAAGCCATCCAATACACCTTCGTTTTCTATGAAGTTTATTAATCCAACGACTGTGAGGTCAATCACATAGGTCAAGCTAGTAGATTGGGGGTAATGAGATTGTCGGAACATAAGAATTTAGTGGCTAAGGTTAGAATGGTTGACCCCGAGAAGATAAGTAATTTAGAAAAAAGCTGAGCAATTGCACTACATGCATTAACACACAATCACACAATAGGATGGGAGAGGGTTAAGATTCTAAGAAGTAATATAGGTAGGTAGAGAGACAGATTAATTACTGAATCCTGGTTCACTGAGTCTACACACAACACATACAACAGAAATGATTCAATGCAAATACCAGAGATATGTATGGAGGATATTATTACCACCAGTCAGTCAAATCAGAGGAGGATAATAAATAATCTTAAAATTCTATTTCAATTCACGTACATCACAACATCCTAACAAGTTACTTATTATGACTATAAAAACACTCGTCTTACTTCCCATCTGATTGTAATTGATCAATAACACTCATATTATTATTTCTGAATGTACTTTATCTTATATTGATTTTATTCAAATGTCTAATCATCAATCCCACTCATGTATATAAATGAAGCAAGAAATTTGTGTAAGTGATTTGATATGATTATGAGCAGCAATAAATTGTGTTCGAAACGTGGTCATCAGTTAATATTACTCTATCACAACACTGTGTGAGTTATCAAAATAAAATCTTATCCATAATGGAGTTAATCCAACGACTGCTGGATATTTTCGTTATTTATTCCATCCCTTGACTTCAAGCTGTGAAGCTTTATTAGTGGAGGTGTGAGGCTGCTAACTGCAAGTCCAAACTTCGCTTTAATCCTCACTTAATGCTGTCAGGTAAAATAGGCTTCGGTTTAAGATTCCGTTGGCTGCGAATGGCACCAAGATCTTGGGCACGGTTGGCGAATAATGCTCATTCTTTACATACATACATACATACTTATATACATGCATACATTTTATATTAAGCTGTTATCTTAATATATTGGTCAGAGTAACAAAATTCCCAAGGAGAATCCTCAATCCCCAAAAAACGATGAACAAATGAAGAGTACTCAGCTGTTTTATTCATGAGAATTACTTGATAAAAGGTGAACAGTAAGCAGTAAGATTGTAAAAAACAAAAACACATTAATAAATATTACTAATGATGACTAGCATTGTAGAAAAAAAATCAATAGAAGCGGATGATTTAAGTCTTCTGGATCAGTGGGGAAAAATTCTTCCTGTTGACTGACACTTTCCATCATGATGTCCCGTTGGCATTATCAAGATTCTGTTTCATTTTCATGAAGGATGTAACTTTTGACTTTTGGATGTGCCTATTCAAGAGAAATAAATGACATAAAGAAAGCGGGAGATATAAGTAGTATTGTATACTATCAGAGAGTCAAACTGTGACGTGTGCTACTGATAAGATTCATCAGTAGTATATAAGGCGACATTCATTGGCACGAAAAAAAACCAAATAACGGAGAGAGCAAATGAACCAGTATTGTAGCAAAAAGTGGGAGACACGAAAAGAAGACGAAAAACACAATATGAAGATCAGAAGTAGCGGGCAAACAGCGGAAGATCCGTGCAAATGATGATTTGGAGATAAGGTTCACATAATTTCCTTAGATAGAGATAGTAAATTCCAAATAAACATTCTCTCACCAAGTATTTTGTCTGCTACCACTGCAATATGACCACTGGGAGTCGAACCCTAGCCAATTTCCTGGAAGACAGCCATGATAACCTCTACATCTCAGTCACAGTTGTAAGTGTCACCTCCAACAGGCCAGCCGAAGTGGATAAGCAATTGTGGTGAGAGCTGGCTGCTAGCCAAAGTTGGTAGACAGTAATTGACGTCAATGTTTATGTCCCCAATATTGGTGGTGAGAAAATGAGAACAAAGGCTTTGCGTAGGCGGATACAGTTAGCATATGGATGATCTGACACAACCACAAAGAGATGGAAAGTTAACTTTCTGTGAGAAACAACCAATCAAAAGACTGTATTTTCTACTAACAATAATCTAAAATAATGTACACGAAAATCTATAAATATGTGTTGATTTTCCTTAATAAACGATCTGTTGCCTGGTCCTTGTCTTCTGTTTTTACACAATGACTCCAGAAATACATCAGCATTTATCTCTTTTCTCTGCTGCCTCCGATTAATCTGATTCCACAATCTTTCGTTTCCTCTCTACATAATCTCCTCTGGGTCACCTTTGAAACCTTGCCCAAATCACCATTTCCCACTTAGGTTCCACTTGAGAGCTTGTCTGGCGTGTGCCATCATTCAATGGTCTCCTGAACGTATATCCGGTCCATTTGCATTTATTTTTCCACATATTTGTTGAACAAAAGGTTCTTAGTCAGTTCATTGCCTGCTAGAGTTCCTCGTTATTTATCCTTCCTGGTGGGTCAGTCATCTGATTTCCAGTACGCAGTGAAGGGTGGAGGCTGGTGAGAAAAGTCTACAGCCTACAGTGGAGAGAGCTGGCTGCAAGCCGAAATTGGCAGACAGTAATTTACGTCAATGTTTACGTCCCCAATATTGGTCATGAGAAAAATAAGAATAAAGACTGATTCAACAACCAACCACAGCAGACTTTGCGTAGGTGGATACAGTTAGCATATTATATATGATCTGACATTCAAGAAACAGCCACAGAGAAGAGATGAAAGATTAACTTTCAGTGAGAAACAACCACCAATCAGAAAACTGTGTTTTTCTGCTAACAATAATCTATAATAATGTACGTGAAAATCTATAAATACATGTTGATTTCCTTAATAAACTATCTGTTGCCTGGCCCTTGTCTTCTGTTGTTACAATATGTTACCTGATGAATTTGTCTGGATAGCTATTTTCAATCAATATGTCATATACAATGCTAAGTTCATCTTCAGCCACCTCTTCTGAGCATATAGCTGTGTAACCCTGTGGCTGAGGGTCCTTACTAAATTTCTTCTGTACTGGAGAGGAACGAAGCTGCGAAAACAATCCTTAACATCTAACTTGAGGACAATATATGCACTGAGACCATTTAAATGAAACTCTTCTGAACCTAGCCAAAATGTGCAACCTTTGAAATGAAACTCTGAGGATACCCAGTTGAGAGTATGGAGGATTCCAGTCACTGCATTCAGGATTGAAATCTCCCCCCACCTACTTATTTCAGACCAAGTATATGAACAGTATCGTCAGCCCTAATATTTTCTTTGGACACTAGTAACTAGTGTGACGTGTCTAGTCCTTTCCTTGGTGCAGACTGAATTCTCTCAGTCAGGCTTGCAATGTGGCCACCATTCTAGGTAGCTTACCATCACGGTGAACATTGATTTGATGATATTAGATAGTTGGAGACAGTCGGCCACAGGAAGCCTTGCCTGACCTAGGTTTCGTGCTAGTTGGCACTCACTCGTCAGCAAGGCGTATCTGCAACCTAGTGTCGAATGAAAATACCCACTACAGTCCTACAGGAGGTCAATCGCGAGCCCCAATAGCTCATTGGTAACGTCTCTGACTACAGGTAGCACTGGGTGACGTGGGTTCGAATCTCAGAAGGGACAGGAGTTCCTTTAATGTGGTTGCAGATACGCCTTGCTGACTTGTGAGTGCCAACTAGCACGAAATCTAGGTCAGGCAAGGCTTCCTGTGGCCGATTGCCTCCAACTATCTAATATCAGCCCTAATACATTAGCTGTCACTACTGGATAAATGAGCTCTAACCATTCAGTTAAGAGGATCTATCACGGTTAGTCTAAGCCACATAAGAAGGTGTAGACTTCCTGGTTGGGGTCCTCGGGACGGTAAAAACCAATGGTTGGAAACAATTGGTGACATGGCTCAAAATCGTTCTCAATGGCTGGTGCAGATGCGTCCACTCCTTGTGACTCATGATTTCCAATGAAACTGTTTTGTTCTTCGTTATTACTATTCCTTTGTCTCACACCTCTGTTTACTGTCTCTATTATGCTTTTCTTCTACTTTCTTCTCTTGCTTTACGTGCTACATGGAGTGTGGTGACTTGAACTGCCGCACATATGTGCAAAGTTCTATGTCGAAAACCGACCGACCGACTGACCTAGATCGTCCGCGATTGTACTTCTTTATAAGGACCTTATCATCGATATGAACGACTACACCGGCTCCTCCCAACACTTGAGTAATACTATTCATTTTCCACGATGCTAAATCTCGACAAAACTGGAACTATTGCACAGTAAACGTTAACGTGTTTTCTGTCTGAGCCGCAGTTGATCTCACCCCGAACTTTAAAATCCAGTAATGACACATAAACAGGATATTCGTCAACGAAAGTTTCGATTTTTCAAAGAAAGTTTATAGAAGACAATTAACTGAGAGTGTCACTTACCACTACGAACACTTATTCGTTTCCTACACTGTGTACATCTAAATATATATCCATCAATAACCTGGGTATACGGCTGCAGGTTCATAGAAGCATCACAACTACATATCCGAGTACGTCCTATTAATCCATTATCTAAGCAGTATTGAAAAACGTGATCTGGGTGAAATTTGCGTCTCAGCAGATGAACAGCGTTCATTTTCACGCTAGAATAATGATAAGTTTCCTCAACCAACGACTAGCAAGCGTTCGCACTCCTGGGACGCTATTCTTGAACTTTGCCGCCCCGAGGATACCTAGTTGAGAGTATGGAGGATTCCAGCCGCTGCATTCAGGATTCAAATCTCCCCGCCCCCTACTTAATTCAGCCTAAGTATATGACTGCATAAAAATAAGACGGAAGACAGGACTTACTTCACATAACCAGTCCAAATATTCTTCAATGGACATATCTAAAACACGCATTCGAATAAAATCAATAGCCACAGTAGTAGCTGGCAGGAGAATTTCCCATAGCGTGAGAGACTGTAGAACACGGGTAAACGATAACACAGTGAACTGACTTGGTGATAACTGTAATGGAAAGATAAAATAAAAGAAATACACACAAATACACGGGGTTATGTAATGTTATCTGTCAGCAATTGAGTGACACTTACTAACGGCCAAGAATTTTATAGGATTATATTGTTTCTCGTACAAAAAACGATTTTATTATCAAACACCTTGGTGTCCAGCTGTTAAATTTGATGATACTGCCTTGAACCAGATGAAGATTCTGTGATCTGTAGCTTTCAGAGAGATATATATTCAAAGCTCCCTGTGAGGTTTCAAAAGCCTGACAGATAGACAAGAGGCAGCGCAGCAGTTTCGTGCCATGACTCTGAAATCAGGTAATGGTGAAAAACCTACTTTAGCAGGCAATTTCAGCGCCTGAGGAAGTACCTGAGGCTCAGTTACCGTCGTTTCAGTTTATCGGAAATGTTTCAGATGCTAAATTCCATCAACTATAATTGGCTAACGCAGCACAGCTAATGGGTACTGGCGAGTTAGAGAAGATAACCAGACAGGTGTTGAGCACAACCACAGCTACAACAGAGTCAACAAAATGAGTCACTGGGAATAACAAATTGAAAATTTGAAGCAGAAAATAGCAGTACTAAAAATGAGCGTCAGGCGATATCGATGTTCTTCATGTGACAAAACAGGGACACTGGCGGAAGTACTTCCAAGAGAGACAACCGATTTCATTTTTGACAATATAATGTAGGTTATTTCTGTTCAGCTAGACAAGAGGCCACTTAAACAGAACTAAATTCTGATAGTCAGGGTCATACATAGTAAGACATCTATCTGTTCAAGTGTATGTCCAATTATCTATGGTTTTGAAATTATTATTGTTATTATTGTTCCATTGGGTTCCTAGTGGAACATAGGGCTTCAACTGCACGTCTCCACTTGCTTCTGTCTTCTGCTGTACTTTTCACCTGCATCCATGTTAGTCCATACTGTTTCAACTCCTCTTCACACAATCTCGTCCATGTCACCCTTGCACTGACGTCCCACTCGCCGCTTCCCTTTCGGGTTCCACTCGAGCAATGGTCTGACGCGCGATGTCACCCAGCAGCCTCCTCAGTGAGTGACCAATCCACCTCCACTTTCTCCTGCATATTTGTTGATTGTTTTGTTTGTTCCCATAGTTTCTTGTTGGTTCTTGTTCTTTCCGGCCATCTGATCTTCAGTATTGAACGAAGACAGTTGTTGATAAAGGTCTTCAACAGGCTGTTGGAAATATTCTTTGTGACCCGCTGCCAAGTTTCTGATTCGTATAGAAGAAGTGACTAGCTTGACGTTTGTATTGAAAATCCGAATCATTTTGTTGTTGATGCTGAGTGACGAAGATTTCCTGATTGGTTTCAGGTTGATGGATGTATTTCTTGCCTTCCTGATTCTCGATTTGACATCCTCGTCCGTTCCTCCTGTAGTTGAGACAATACTCCCTAGATAAGTGAAAGAAGTAACCTCTTTCAAATCCCTCTCGTTGATGGTGATTGGCGCTGGATGTTGCTATTGTTGTTGTTGTTGGTTGGGTGGGTGGTTATTTTCATAACCTCCGTGTTGTCTGTGTTCACCTGCAGTCCTGTCTCTACTGCTTCTTCCACCAGTTTGTTGGTTTTTGCTTGTAACTCTTCGATTTTGTAACATCAAACGTAAATCATCCACAAAATCCAGGTCTTCTAGGTTCTTCACGTCGGTCCAGGATATCCCTGTCTTCTCGTTTCCCACTGTGTGACGCATAATCCAGTCCACCACAATTAGGAATATCATTGGTGATAATAAGCACCCTTGTCTGACTCCTGTGTTTACTCCAAACGCTTCGCTGAGTTTTCCGTTTTGAAATTGGTAATTTCTATTTCATTTAGCTATGTAATAAAATTAGAAATACACAGTGCCGACTTGGACGTTCAAGTAATGCCTGGGTGACTGTTGCTTTCCAGATGGGAAAGTTGCTTCCTTCCTGGAATACTTGGATTAGAAGAAGTATTTGTTTTGCATAGCTGCAGAGCCCATGAGACAACTACTTGAAGCCAGTCACACATACAGATTGTCTGAATGGATTTTTGAAGTCGTATCCATATGAAGATCTTTCTATCATCTACGAACATCTGTAAGGTAAGCCGGGATCAACTTTTTCTAACCTCCCTCCAGCATCCCAGAGCGAAAATGCAGCAAAGCTGGCTAGCTGGCCATCTGAGGGGAACACTTTACTGCCTTTATACTCCTATTCGCCCTCAGAAAACTTATTCTACGATGATAATTGCTTCTAGTCTGACTGTTACCTGAAAGACTTTTCTGTCATAGTAGGACCTGTGAAAATAATCGTTCCAGCCAATATAGCTAGTTGAGTTCATGAGATATTCAGGCCTGACCATGACGTCAAGATTGCATCTAACGGTCGGGAATAAAAATAACAATATTAATAATAGTAATAATAATACAAGGTTGAAGTTACTCACCTGAGCATAAATTTTAAGTTTTGACAGGACATACTTAATTTTGTGTTCATTTAATAATTCTGCCAAATCGATTAACAAATCCACATACCTAAAATTAAAAAGAACAAAACAGAGAGGGAAACAAATAGACAAACAGTAAGAAATGGAATAAGTATAAAAATTATCTGCACTTTGATATTTCGGGATAGGGTCACTGGTTTCACGCCGAAGCTCCTTTCTTTCTCTCACCCTCTCCGAGGTTAAGATTGGCTAGTTAATTAGGCTTGGTGATATGGAGGAAATTGTGTAGACAGGAGATCCAAGTCTGTAGGAGATCGTGAGAAAAGCAAGAGAGGATTGCGGAGAGCAAATTGAAATGGAAATGTGCTGTGGAAGTCCTCTGTTTCCCTTGCAACCCAAGGGAATACTGATAATAATAATAATAAGTACATAATAGAAAATCGATTGCTTACAGGATTTCCTCATGAGCTGACACCGGTTAGAGAACCAATCAGTCGAATCCCTACAAACCAATACTTGAATATTAATGAGATGCTCACTTACAACTGGCCCAATTCAGGCAGGTAGTTACCAGGGTTCTAGTGGGAAGTCGTGACCAGTAGGGTTCAGCGGGTCGGAAGTGAGGATAAATACTTGCTAAAGACATTGGTTTGAGGTTGCGTTATGTCGTGAATTGGTAGAAGTTGGAATTCATAGAATGGCAATTGGATCGGGTCCCAGTGGCTTAATGGTATACGAGCTCGCCTTGTTACCAGAAGCTCAGGAGTCGGAACCCCTTAGTGTGGGGGCGTACTGCTAAAGAGTCTCAAGCTATGCCGATGAAACAGCTGGCTGTTCAGTACTCCCAGCATATTTTCCAATGGTTCTCTAACCGTTGTCAGCTCATGATGAAATCCTGTAACCAATCAATCAAATCCCTACAAACACATACCAGGAAATCGATTCATAAAAATTCCAATGCTGATAAGCTACAGTTAGTATTTTCCACGCGACCGACTGTAATTTTTCAGCTGAAAGACGAAATACGTGGGCTAATCATCTCTTCTTGTATCCGTCGATTCATTTGCTCACCTGTAGAGGTATTTATATTGACCATCGCCCTAGGAGCTTAATTTTTCATACTCTGGAATACCTATCAGTATAGTTGAATAAGAATGTAGCAAAGTTAATAATAAACAGCCCGATATTATGCCATCTAGTTCAAACAGGCTACAATGAACAATCCTTTAGTATCATTTGTTGGGTATCAAATAAATCGCCAAAAGCCAATAGGTGCCGATTTCTTCAAATAGCAGAGGCCATTGCAATTCACCTGAAATAACGGGAGCTGTGTGTGCATGTGTGCGTGCAGGTTCAGCCACTACTGCTTCCCAAGCATGCTGTGGCGTCGATAAATTCATAAACTCTTTATTATTATTTTTCTTCATTTATCCAATATTCAGTTTACTGATGCATATTAATACTTACGGAAACCACTTCAACCCTACGGCGCGCAGTGCCCAAGTCTTTATCAACTCCATTCAACAGTTGGCTATATGACAATGCCACCTCCAGTCGGGTGATCCACAATGGGAAATTCAGTGAGATACTCAAAGTGCATACAGGAGTAAGACAAGTTGGCTGGTTGCCTATTATCATCTATTATGATATTCTTAATTGTGGTGGGTTGAATTATGCGTCAGACTGTGTGTGGGGAACCAACGGACAGGAATACGCTGGACCACCGATAAGAAGACGCTAGAAGATCTAGATTTCGCAGGTGATATATATCTAATGTCGCATAAACTCGAAGACTTACAGGCGAGAAACAACAAGCTGGATGAAGAAGCAGGCAGGCAGCGAAGACAGGACTCCAAGTGAACATATAGAAGACGGAGGTGATGAAGATAACCAGGCAACCAACCTCAGCAACAACAACAACCAGCACCAATCAACATCAGTGGCAGAGATTTAACAGAGATTACCTCCTTCACTTATCTAACCAGGAAGCATCGTTTCAACTACAGGTGGAATGGACGAAGATGTCTTAGCCAGTCAGAATCGGGAAGGCAAGATACGCCTTCATCAACCTGAAACCTGTTTGGAAATCTTCTGCTTCACTCAGCCAGCATAAAGAACAAGATTCGGATTTTCAACACCAATGCCAAGCCGGTCCTTCTATACGGGTGAGAAGCTTGACTAGCGTGTCACGAAAAGAATTTCCGGTAGGTTACTGCAGAATTCTATCAACAGCTGCCAATTCGCTGGCTGGCTCCATACTGAATTTAAAGTAGCCAACTGACACGCCAGAAAGAATCAGCAGCAAGAAATTCTGACTGGCAACAAACCAACAGGCGAAACCCGACCGCCCAACAAATATGTAGGCGAGGATGGAGATTGACTGATCTGGCACACATTGAGGAAACCGTCGAATAAGATTGCGTGCCACCTAGGTCATCACTGGAGTGGAATCCAAATGGGAATCAACGAGTGCGTCGCTGGTGTGAGGGTGATACGGAGGAGATCGCGTGGGGAAGAGATGAGAGATTCTGCGCAATCATGAACCCAGCTGAAGAGGATGACGGAAAACAGAAGAAAGTGAAGATGTGTTGCTGAAACTGTATGTTCCACCCGGAACCCAAGGGAATAATAATAATCACTTAAGGATGCCTTTGAACAGTAGTCTGTTGATCTTGATGATTGGGTGTTATTTATTTATGTATTATTATTCCCCTTGGGTTCCTAACTGAACAGCGGACTTCATCAGCGCGTCTTCACTTTGTTGTATTCTCTGTGCTTCTCTTTATTTGGCCGAACCATTGCTCACAGTCCCTGATCTCCTCCTCTCACGATCTTCTCTAAATCACCCTCGGAGCATCGCCTAAGCCATCATTTCCCATTCGGGTTCCATTCATCTGATGGCCTGACAAGCGATGTCATTCGACGGTCTTCCCAGCCTATGTCCAATCCATCTCCATCTTCTTCGGCTTATTTGCTAAACAATAAGTCCTCGGTTGGTTCATTCCCAGAGCTTCTGGTTGCTAATTCTTTCTGGAGATCCGATCTTCAGTAAAGAGCCAACAAAGGCAGCTGTTGATAAAAGTTTGTTCGAAATTTTTTAGGTGACGAGCCATGCTTCTGATCCACATAGATAGACTGAATGAATGACTTGACACTGGTGATGAAAATTCGAATTTTGTTGTTCTTCCTAATTGGAGAAGATTTACAAACCGATTTCACTGTGATGAAGGTGTGCCCTGCCTTCCCCCATTCTAGCTGGCTTTGATATCTTCATCCGTGATGTTTGCCTGTAATTGCAGCGATACTGACCAGCCAGATTAGTAAAAGTAGTGGCCTCTTCCAAATTTCTTCAGCTGGTAGTGATTGGTGCTTTTTTCTGTTGTTGGCTGTTTATTTTCACCACCACTGTCTTCTCTATGTTCACTTCAAGTCCTGTCTTTACTGCCAGCCTCTTCTACAAGTTAGTTGGTTTCGCCTGGCTGTAAGTCTTCAAGTTTGTCTGACATTAAACATAAATCTGGATGTTACTTACAAATCATTAATATTATTAGTAACCGTAATTATTTAATTGTGATGGATGCATATAACTGTCAAACCTTATGACGAAGAAGTTATCGAAAATATCAATATTCTTTGTTCAAATGATCCGTCCTTTGAGATTAGTTTTATTTTCATCCAAAGAAATGCTCGGATGACTACATAATACAAGACATACTTACTGAAGCGATAAATGCGTGTTGTTCTGTTCAACTTCAGCTAACATAGAAAAGAATTATTGATTCAAACAATTGTAAAATGGAGACGTAACAACAAAGAAAAGTTTCTTCACGACGATTCATTTTCAAGTGTCACAAAAAGCCAATTTACACCATCATACTGAGAATTAAATTCTCCAAGCTAGCAGACAGTTATTTCATTCATACGCTGAAGGAAACTAAGGATTGTGTGGACAGATGTTTCACTCTTGTTCGCTACTGTTCAGCAAAAAGCACCCACGAGCTCAACCGCCTTGGTTTTCAGTGGTTCTTTAACTGGAGTCATTTCGTAAAGAAACTTGAAACTCGTCAAATCTCTGAAAATCAATATACTTGAATATTACTCCAGTACTTACTAGTGACTCAGTAGGAAATGAAGTTGCCTGAAGTTCTGGCGAGAAGTCGTTACCTGCACAATCAACACACACGTCATCTCCGGCTGACCATCGACCAAGGAACGTGTGTACTGCTCAGCAGCAGTTCACTCCGTTCTCCTTTATGGTTATGAAATAAGGATATTGAAAGTGGAAGACATCAAAAAGCCGGCTAGCTTTCTTTGATCATAGGTGTCTGAGTTCTATCTCCCATGTTAAATAGTATAATATGGTGATTAACATTGAGGTGGGGCATCGGTCGAGGGCTAGGTAAAGAGGGAAAGTCAGTCAGCTACGTTGTGAAGTTACACCGATTGCGAGAGATGGTTAGGACATGTGTTTGTTTGTAGGAATTTGATTTGATTGGTCACAGGATTTCACCATGAGTTGACATAGGTTAGAGAACCATCGGAAAACCAGCTGGAAGTACTGGACAGCTGTTTCACCCTTGTTTGGGACTCTTCAGATATACTCACTAACCGGGGCTCTAACTCATTCCCTCTGGTTACAAGGTATAGCAGGCTGGGTGTGAGGACAAATACTCACCAGTGACACTGGCTAGTGCCAGTTGTTCTTTATGTCGTGGACTGGCAGAATTTAGGTCTGATGGGCTGGCTAATGGATCCTGTCTCAGGGGCTGAGTGGTCAACGAGTTCGCCTTGTAACCAGAAGGTCCTGAGTTCGAACCCTGGTGGTGGATGCGCACTGATGAAGGGTTCCAAACAAGTGTGAAACAGCTTTCCAGTACTCCCACCTGGTTTTCCAATGGTTCTCTAACAGATGTCAGTTTATGATAAAATCCTGTAAATACACAGAACACACTGATAAGGCATCGAGAAACTCACATATTGGGAGCGTGACAACTGATACGCGTACTTCGGTAAGAAAAGTAAGTGTATGTGTGTGCATAACATAACATTCCACAGTGTACTTCGAGAAGTACAACGAAAAAGTGGAATATAGCTTTTAGATCTAACTATAAATGAAATATTCCCTAGCCTTACCAACCATATGATAGTCACAGGAAGTTTGTTTTGATTTTCAAATTAAATTTCCCCTTCTTCCTGCTTGGTAAGCCACTTTAGAAGAGTTTTTGACATTGTCACTTGGTTGAATCAGCAAAATCAACAGTAAGCACTAATCCCTAAAAATAAGAGGAGCCGTCTCTTACGTTTAATGATGCATCATCCCCTCAACTACAGCTGGCACAGATGACGAAGTCATAGTTAATCAGGATCGAAAAAGTAAGACAGCCGTTCATTAAATCGATATTGGTGTGGAGATTCACAGCATTAAGCTCATAGAATGACATCCGGATTTTGATTAACACCCATGTGAAGTTAGTAGTGCTTTTACACACCCCAGAAACTTGATATGCAAGCCACCAAAGACTACTTATAACACCTTGCTATAAAATTCCATGAGCACCTATCCTCTTCGATCAATATTGTAAATCAGATGGTAACGAGGAACTCTGACAGCAGTCCAGCCGACAAACTGTTGCCTGACAGATATACGACGGGGAATGGAGATGGACAGTACAAACGTTAATGAAACATTCAAATGACATCACACGTCAGTTAGGCATTTAAAGTGGAACCTGAACAGGAAGTGACGATTTGGGCCAGAGTCCGATGGTCACATGGAGGAGATCGTGTGAAGGGAAAATAAATTTGTTTGAACAGTTGTGGATCTAGTTCAGGATTACCGCAGAAAACTGAGTGTAGTCGAGATGTGTTGTTGAAGCCCTACGTTCCACTCAGTACCCAATTAACTATTATCATAACTGTTTCCTTCAATTCCTAGAGGAACATTGGGGATTCAGCCACAAGTCTTCACTGCGTTCGGTTCTCTACCAACGTTTTCACCTCGCTTCAAGTCTGCCCACATGCTTTCATCTCCTCTTCACATGATCGCTTCCATGTTATCACCCTCGCACTGATGACCAACTCGCCGCTTCCCATTCGGATTCCACTCGAGCACTGGCCCTATCTTGGGATGTCACTTGATGGTTTTCCCAGAGTATGGCCAATCCATCTCCATTCCTTCCTGCTTATTTGTTGCACAATCGGTTCCTGGTCGGTTCATTGCCAGAGATCCCTCTCTGTTGCTGATCTTCTCTGGCCATCTGACCTTGAGTAGTATTGATCGAAGACAGCTGTTAATGAAGGTCTGTAGTTTGTTTGAGGAGCTCTTCATGCGCGCGCCCAATTCTCTGATCCATAAAGTAGCACTGATTTCTCTGTGAAGTTCCAATTAACTAACAACAACAGCAATAACAATAATAATAACACAGTGAAGAGTGATTTCAAGCTTACTTACCACGGTGCTAATTCTTTCTTCTCAGCAGTTTTACGAGCCAATTCACTAGCTGCCTTATCATAACGTGCCAGTTGATGCATACGTTTCATAGCAACGTGTGTATGACCATTAATTGGTATATTCTGATATTTTGTTAAACATATTTCTGGTCGTATTCTATGAAAAAAGGAAAAGAAAACAGTACAAAACGAGGAGCAAAAAACAGGTGGAATAAACGCAAAACTGACTAAAATGACAGACACCAACAGTAAGGAACCAGAACTACTAACCAGCCTTGATTAAGACATCTTAATTTCAAAATAGACTTCGTCAGAACCAAGGAAAACTGCACCTCTGTTTCGTCCTAGCGAGGAACTCTTCACAGTGCACACCCATAATCGCACTAGGGTTTTAACGTAGGAGCTTCAGGTCATGATTCCAGCCTTTTAAGACCGTGAGTACACACCACTGAAGAGTCCTAAATTAGGAAGAATTGGCTGCTCACTGCTTGCAGGTTTTCAATGATTCATATACCCACAAGTATAAAAAAGTTTCTCATTCGATTTATATAATCGCACTATTCTTTTGTCATTTTATTTTGCCGATAATATTTTCCACATGTGTGATATTGTTGCCGCGTAATTCTTATTGCATATGTTAAGTGCAGATTTGATGGACGAAGATTCAGTGGTCGACATCTCCCACCAAATGAATACATTGCTTTTTAGAACTGTCACTCTGTCCTATCCTGTTATGTGTTTGTATGTGTGATGTTGTTGTTGTCACTGTCCTTCCTGTTGTGAATTATTTACCTTTTGTTGGTGTTGTCCTGATTGCTTTATTCCTTGTTTTCCTGATTTTAAGGGGAGAAACCCACAAGATCGCTTCTCTGTAAACTATATTTTAATGTAACAACCCCCCCTCTCAGGAGTGAGGCTAGCAACCCCACCCTGTAAACAAAGTTGCTACAGAAACTTCAGCACGATGAATCTCCTTGCGCCAAAAGAAAACGTCTTTGTGGGGACATGGAACGTTCGCACCATGTACGAGATTGGCAAAGCTGTCCAGATTGCAAACGAGATGAAAAGATACGGAATTCAAGTATTGGGAATATGTGAAAGCAGATGGAACGGGGATGGACTCACCAGATTGTCAATGGGAGAGCCAGTGATCTATTCCGGTCACCCAGAAGACAACTACATGCACACTGAGGGCATGGCTATCATGATTTCACCAGCGGGCAACGAGGAAACAGGCATAAAATGGACTCACACAAAAAACTTGGAGGATCTGGACTTCGCCTATGATATAAGTCTGATTTCCCACAAACTTGAAGATATGCAAGTGAAAAGCGACAAGTTTTTTTATTACAGCTTGATTCCACACCGTATTTCTTGGTACAGGTATGGAATTTTCAGCATGTGATATCGGTAGCCCGAATTTTGCAGGCCGACTATAGATATAAGGTGTGCGTCGGCAGGCTAGAAGCATCAAAGACAGGACTTTAAGTAAACATAGAGAAAACAGAGGTGATGAAGATTCCTGGCCAACACCATCAACAGCAACAACAACAGACAACAATCAGCATAAATAGGAAGAACCTGAAAGAAACAACCTGCTTCACCCACCGACCTGGGAAGCATCGTTTCAACTACAGGCGGATGGAATTGATGAGGATATCAAAAGGAGGATCGAGAAAGCAAGACAAGCTTTTATCACTGTCAAGTCTGTGTGGAGGTCAACAGCACTCAGCATCAAAAATAAGATCCGGATTTTCAACTCCAATGTGAAGTCAGTGCCACTTAATATACGGATCGGAGACTTGGCGCGTCACAAAGAGCACCTCAAACAAACTACAGACCTTCATCAACAGCTGTCTTCGCTCAATACTATTCAAGATCAGATGACCGGCCAGAAAAGATCAGCGACAAAGATCTCGGGCAATGAACAAACCAACACAACAGGATGGATTAGATTGTGGCCATACTCTGAGAAAACAAACCATCAAGTGACATCACATGCCAAGCCATAGCTCGAGTGGAATCCGAATGGGAAGCGGCGAGCTGGTCGTCGGTGCAAGGGTGACTTGAAGGAGGTCATGTGCAGAGGAGATGAAAGCATGTGGGTAGACTTGGAGCCAGGTGAAAACGTTGGCAGAGCACTGAACGCAATGGAGACGTGCAGCTGAAGCCCTATGTTCCTCTAGGAATTAAAGGAAACACTAATAATGTAATAATGTGTGATATATGCATTGCAATTGTTGAGTTTTTCACTGAGTTACTCATCTCTCCGCAGTCCATCACTCTATTCCCTGATAACCTGATGTATATATATATATATCAGTTGTGAAGACGGATCAGTTGGATGCCTTCCTGAAACTGAACTAGACTGGATTAAAGTAAAACGTAGCAAGACTAAATCATGGCATCAGTCTATGAAGTTTCTGAATGCTGGTTTAAGCTGCGTTGAATGATGTAGACTGCCTGCATGGGGTTATCGAAATGCGATATCGGCTAAAAACTATTGGTAAAATGACTCAAAATCGTTCTCAGTAACATGCACTCATTCAGTCATTGTGATCTTCTAGAATCATTCCTCATCTAATTGTAGTCTGTGCATTCCCTTTTCTTGACTTTATGTGGGCTTTAAAAAATGCGATAAGGCCAACGGGTGTTGCCTTTGTGGAAATTCCTTCATTGGAAACTCATTTAGTACAAAGTAAACATAAAATGATCTGTTTCAATTCTGCTGAATGTACTTCGTACTTCATGAATTATCATAACCCAGATTTGGATTAAAATAGAAGAGGAAGAAGAAGAAACAGACGAGGAGAAAGGAGTCCCCATAATTCAAGGGACAGCCTATTCCATCTTAACAAAGAACAGTTCTTCCCACAACAATACGAGAAGGAATAATATAAAATGACATTTGACAGTTTCCTGTGATGGACTGGTAAGCTGAATAGAAGTCAAAGTCGAACTATATACAATTTTGGTAAGTAATCATCCTGGATTCCACCACTAGTCACCATCCGCCAATTAACTTAAAATCATTGTAATATTGAGACATCAGTTCATAGAGTCAGTGAGCCAAAATGAGGTCTGTCAACACGGTCACGGATCACTAATTACACAAATTATTATTATTATTTCCTTTAATTCCTAGAGGAACATAGGGCTTCAGCCGTGCGTCTCCATTGCGTTCGGTTCTCTGCTAGAGTTTTCACCTGGCTCCAAGTCTGCCCACATGTTTTCATCTCCTCTTCACATCACCTCCTCCGCTTCCATGTCACTCTCACACCGATAAACGACTCGCCGCTTCCCACTCCGTCGGGTTCCACTCGAGCACTGGCCTGTCTTGTGATGTCACTCACTTGATGGTTTCCTCAGAGTATGGCCAGCCAATCCATCTCCATTTCTTCCTGCCTATTTGTTTCACAATCGGTTGGTTCCTGCTGTGTTGGTTCGCTCATTGCCAGAGATCTTTGTCGCTGATCTTTTCTGGCCGGCCATCTGATCTTGAGTGGTATTGAGCGAAGACAACTGTTATTGAAGGTCTGTAGTTTGTTTGAGATGCTCTTTATGACGCGCTGGCCAAGTCGCTGATCCTTATAGTAGCACTGACTGACTTCACATTGGAGTTGAAAATCCGGATCTTATTTTTGATGCTGAGTGTTGTTGACCTCCACACAGACTTGAGAGTGATAAAAGCTTGTCTTGCTTTTCCGATTCTTGCTTTGATATGTTCGTCAGTTCCATCCGCCTGTAGTTGAAACGATGCTTCCCAGGTCGGTGGGTGAAGCAGGTTGTTTCTTTCAGGTTCTTCCTATTTATGCTGATTGTTGTCTGTTGTTGTTGCTGTTGATGGTGTTGGCCAGGAATCTTCATCACCTCTGTTTTCTCTATGTTCACCTGAAGTCCTATCTTCTCTGGATGCTTCTCCTGCCAACTTGTTGCTTTTCACTTGCATATCTTCAAGTTTGTGGGAAATCAGACTTATATCATAGGCGAAGTCCAGATCCTCCAAGTTTTTTGTGTGAGTCCATTTTATGCCTGTTTCCTCATTCCCCGCTGTTTGTCGCATTGTCCAGTCCACCAAAATAAGGAAAATCATCGGAGATAGTAGGCATCCAGCTTGTCTTACTCCTGTCCTCACTTCGAAGGATTCTGTAAGTTTCCCGTTGTGGATTACTTGGCATGCGGCATTGTCGTACAGCTGTTGGATGAGATGTATAATTGTCGGTGGCACCCCATAGTAGCGAAGTAGTTGCCAAATCACCTCTCGATCGACGCTGTCGAAGGCCTTTTCAAAGTCGATGAAGTTGAGTGAGATAGAGAGCTGACCGACCGCAATTCCAAGCTCTGTTCAATGATGATCCGTAGTGTGGCGATTTGATCAATACATGACTTGTTTCTCTCACAAATATGAATCAATAATTTCAAGTCATATCTGCTGGACAATCAGTGATTTTCATGACTCAGAAGTCTGTACGACAAACATAAGAGGTAAGCCCCAAAAAATTGGCAACAGCCCACAAACAGTAATCGCCTGAACTTTATGGTCATGTAACACTGATGTTGTTTCTTCGCCCGACTCAGTAACTTAGAGGATAGGGTTTCAATTTTAGAAATGATTGATAAGGTGTGTGAGTATTAATGAGGAAACCACCAATAACAGGAGATGCAAGTACATCAAACTGATGAACCCCAAATAGGACGAAATGTACACACCTCTTAGATTGCACTACTAATCGCCATGAAACAAGTAAAAGTACAATATACACTAACCACAACTAAAAACAGAAACTAACAGCAACTGACTCTTACCTTTTCATAAATTCTAAACGATCTTCCAACTCAATACTCTTTTCATCAGTCATAATTGACAGCTGACTGCGTAGACTATCGATTAAGTTGGTTAATTTATGACTTGTAAATTCTTTGGGTATTTCTTTTAAATTACCAGTAGTAAATGGTCTAGAATAAAAATAGATTATGGTGGTAAGTGTGAATGATTTCAACATGTCAGATAATAACATAATAATGTGATGGTATATAATAGAACAAGACATATAAGCGAAAAATATTGTTTTCAAGTATTGGTTTGTAGGGATTTGATCTGATTGGTTACAGGATTTCATCATGAGCTGACATTGGTTAGAGAACCATTGGTAAACCTGCAGAGAGTACTGGACAGCTGTTTCGTAAACCTAGTTTGGGACTCTTCAGCAGTACGCACCCACCAACAAGGTTCGAACCCAGGATCTTCTGGCTACAAGACTAGCGAGCTCGCAGACCATTGAGCCACTGGGACCCAATCCAATGCCCAGTCCATGAATTCTAACTTCTGCCAATTCACGATGTAACGCAACCGCTAACCAATGTCTTCGGCAAGTATTTGTCCTCACAAACGACCTGCTGCACCCTACTGGTCACGACTTCCCACCAGAACCCCAGGAAACTACCTACCTGAATAGGGCCAGTCGTTAGTGAGCATCTCATTGATCTTCAAGTATTGGTTTGTAGGGATTTGGTTAATTGGTTACAGGATTTCATCATCAGCTAGTATTGGTCCTGATTTTGAACCCCGATAGGTGCGTACATATGAAGAGTCCCAAATTAGGACGAAACAGCTGTTTCGCCCTAGTTTGGGACTCTTCAGCAGTACGCACACATCAACGAGGTTCGAACCCAGGATCTTCTGGTTACAAGGTGAGCTCGTAGTGTAACAACAAAAGACAAGGGTCAGGCAAAAGATCGTTTATAAAGGAAAATCAACACATATTTATAGATTTTAATGTACATTATTGTAGATTATTGTTAGTAGAAAATACAGTCTTTTGGTTGGTTGTTTCTCACAGAAAGTTAACCTTGCATCTCTTTGTGGCTGTGTCAGATCATCCATATGCCAACTGTATCCGCCTACGCAAAGCCTTTGTTCTCATTTTCTCACCACCAATATTGGTGACATAAACACTGACGTCAATTACTGTCTACCAACTTTGGCTAGCAGACAGCTCTCACCACAGTAGACCATTAAGCCACTGGGATCCGAACCAATGGTTATTTTTTTTTATTTTATTTTATTTTTTTATTTTTGGTTACAGCTTGATGCCACACCGTATTTTTAGTACAAGTATGGAATTTTCAGCTTGGATATCGGTAGCCCAAATTTTGCAGGCCGACCATAGATATCGGGTGTGCGTCGGCAGGGGATCGAACCTCGAACCATGTGCATGGTCGGCGAGAGTCCTAACCACTGTGTCCATGAATTCTAACTTCTGCCAATTCACGACATAGCGCGACCGCTAACCAATGTCTTCGGCAAGTATTTGTCCTCACAAACGACCTGCTGCACCCTACTGGTCATGACTTCCCACCAGAACCCAAGGTAACTACCTACCTGAATAGGGCCAGTCGTTAGTGAGCGTCTCATTCATTGGTTTGTAGGGATTCAGTTGAATGGTTGCAGGATTTCATCATCAGCTGATATTGGTCCTGGGTTCGAACCCCGGTGAGTGCGTGCCGATGAAGAGTCCCAAATTAGGGCGAAAGAGCTATCCAGTACTCCCAGGATTTCCAATGTTTCTCTAACCAATATCAGCTCATGATGAAATATTGTTTTCAATTAGATCTTCAGGCTTTACTTTAATCCACGCATTAATGACCATCTTCCCTCATGGTTCGGGAAAAGTCAAATAAAATCTATAAGTCCTATTTTGTCTCATTTGATTGATGATATCAGTCACCAAGTGGACAGAAGAAATGCCCTTAAAATTATCTATCGCATCCCATTGAACCTTCTAAACGGAATTCGAACCCACCTGTCACACATAGCCGAAGCTATAGGAATTAATTCGAGAGGACAATCCTAGTATTTGCTTCCAATGAAAGAAGTTTGTTCTACCTTTGTCTCGCCCTTGCTTAGCCTAGGTGAATTCTATTCAAAACCCTCCCACCCTTTTCTTATATACATATACTACCTTTGTTACTAAATAGCGGAACGTCAGTAAAAACAATATCGTTTTGTTTTTCATTCATTGGGAAATACAAAAACCTTCATTATAATGAATACCTTTGTTATTCTTATCACTTGCATAAACCTTATTATCGATATTTTGTTATCATTATAATCATCGTTATTAATGGCGTTCAAAACATTTACCACATTATTATTTGATCAACAGAATCACCGTCATTGGTTAAAAACTTTACTTATACAAATCTATGTAAATTAAAGTAAAGCCTGAAGAAGATCTAATTGAAAAATAGAATATTGTTCGCTTATATGTCTTGTTCTAATATTAAAAATGGAAATATTTAAAGATGTTATATATACTACTGACTGACTGATATAAGTAGTTGGATGCTAATCACATCAATCAGTAGTATGCATCATCATCAAACCTCTACCTCAACTCTATCGACCATGAAAGAACTTCCGACAGAGTTGACGGCGAAGTAATTCGGAAGCTACTTCAACACACTGGCGTGGTTCAAATATTTATCAACCTCATTCAGCAGCCATATGACAATGATACGTGTTAAGTTGTAACAACAGAAGGCAATGCCAACCAGGCAACAGATCGTTTATTCAGAAAATCAAGACATATTTAAAGACTTTTATGTACATTATTGTCAGTGGAGACGCAACGTCTTCTGATTGCTTGTTTTCTTGCTGAAGGTCATTCTGAGCTGTTTGTAACCATTTCTCAGAAAGTTAGGCGAAGCATTTAGACTAATAAGAAGCTCCTAGGAGGTCAGGACTTAAGCGGACGACTTGTTTGCAGTATCACACAAACTCAAAGACCTACAGATAAAAAGCAGCAAGTTTGTAGAAAAGGCTCGCAACAAAAACAGGACTCCAGGTAAACATAGAGAAGACGGAGTTGATGAAGATAATCAACCAACGACAGTGAGAATAACAAGCTCTAATCCCTATCAGCTGTGGAGATTTCGAAGACGTCACTTCCTTCACTTATCTAGGAAACACTGTTTCAACTATAGGCCCCCTAGACAGATAAGAATGTCAAAACCAGAATTGGAAGCTCAGAACAGACCTTCATCCCTCTGAAATCAGTTTGGAGATATTCTGCTCTCACTCAGCCAGTAAAAAGAACAAGATTCGAATTTTCAACGCCAATGTTACATCAGTCAGTTCTTTGTGTGGGTCATAAAGCTGACAAGTCACGAAAATAATTTCCAACAGGTTACTCTACACTTTTATCAACATCTGCACATTTCGCTTTATTCTAACGACCAGCGAACCAACCAGGAACCGATCATGCAAAAAATATGCAAGAAGAGATGGAGGTGGATTGGATTGTGGCCATACTCCGAGAAAATCACCAAGTGAGTGACATTACATGCCAGGCCATTGGTCGAGTAGAACCCGAGTGGTAAGCGCCAAGTCAGTTGGTCGTCAGTGCGAAAGTGACATGGAGGAGGTGATGTGAAGAGGAGAGGAAAGCGTGTGGTCAGATACGGAGCCAGGTGAAAACATTGGTAGAGAACCGAACGTAATGGAGACGTGTGGCTGAAGTCCTAAGTTCTTGTAGGAACTAAAGGAAACAATAAAATAATAATAAAGGTCAGATGGCCATAAAGACCTGATGACAAGTTACTTTAGGAACGAACCAGCCAAGGACCTATTGTTCAGCAAATATGCCGGAGAAAGTGGAGATGCATCGGACACACGTTTGAGGAAACTGCTGAGTGATAGATCTCCGAGTAGAACCAGAATGGGAAAAGATCAGTTGAGCATCACTTCGAGGTTGACATGGGAGATATCGTGTGAGGAGGAGATGACAGTTCATGGGCAGTCTTGGGGCCATTGGAAGGGGACTTCAAAGAAAGGGACAACATAAAGACGTGCTGCTGAAGCCCTATGTTCCACTAGGAACCCAAGAGACGAGCTCACCAGCAGCGTACCCGGTACCTGACTTAGATAAGAGAGTTGAACCTGTTGAAACCACTTTAATTCTGGCTGGTTACCTTGGAGAACTAATAATATATAGAATTAAGTTCATCAATTGTAAATTACACAGTTCAACAATTGAATTTTACTGCCGTTTCCCTTACTTGATACCACATACATCAATCAATAAAGCGAGTGAACTAGCATGGTGACGATATATACTATCGATTGATATGTGTAGTCGAGAGCTATTCGCACCAAATGGTAGCAGTCACACAATAGAAAAGTTTTGCAACAACTAACTTTCTTGAACAGCTTTGATTCCGATCAGTAACTGACCCTTGACCACACAGTCACACATAATATTCACCATTACGATGAAGAAGTAGCAGCGCTTAGGTGTTTGAAACGATGGATGATGGCTGGGTTCGAGTCTTTCTGGAAACACTGCCACTCACAGCAGGATGCAGCTATACATTCAGATGGCTAGTCCCAAACCGGACGAAATGCATCTCCTGGATTCCAATGCCAACCGTTAGCAACCACAAAACTGTATAGTCGTAGGTTTATATTTCTGAGTGAAGGAAAGGAATCACCTTCGAAGTTGCCTATGCATTTAGTGCAATCCACAGCATTATAATACTTTAACTTACAACAAAATTAAAACAAAGGGAATTAATCGAAAGAAAAGTTTTCATAGGTACTAGTTTTCTTCATTAACGTATGATAAATAATCATCTTCATTAGACATGATGAAGCACTTGTGCCACATTAGGACAACACTCTCCATAAGTAAAAGAGTGTGACTTAAAAAGACAAAGTGCTTCGGCTGACCACCTGTTATATGGAACTATAAGTTCATCTACTCTTATGAAGTAAAGGACATCTACCGTAAATAAAAAATACTTCCCACACGGATATGAAAACACAATCCAATATGATGTTACCAGGCCAAAAGAAAGGGTGTAATAAGCTCTATTCTAAAACAGCTAATCAGATTCTATCACTCATCTCTCCCTGAAAATGATTTTAATATAATCTATCAAATTCATTCTAACCTGCTGCATTTTCTTAGTCACAAACTTTTGAAGACTATTCAACATGTGCATACAGTCTGTGTGCCTTTTCCTTATAATCATGATTGTTATTACTATTAATACTTTGAACAGTCTCCAGTATTATTTCATCTATCCCCCACCTTTTATAGGTCTAAGTCAAAATAATTGTCTGCAGTGTTAAACTCAATTTTATTAAATTTCCCATTTTGTTGCGCAATCCTTCCATATTCTCAAGTAGTGGTTTTGTAGGGATTTTTTTGTTTGATTGGTTGGAGGATCTCATCATGAACTGACGTCACTTAGAGAACTATTGGAAAACCTTCAGGGAGTACTGAACAGACAACCATTTCGTCCTATTCTGTGACTCTTCAGCAGTACGCGCCAGCCGGCGCTCAAAATCCCTACAAAACCAATACTTGAAAATTGATCTGATGCTCAGTAGTGACTGGCCCCACTCAGGCGGCCAACTGCTATTGTAGTGGAAAGTCGTGACTAGTAGGGTACAGCAGGTCAGAGATGAGGACAGTTACTCATCGAAGAAGAAGACATTGCGAAGTGGTCGCGCTATGTCATGAATTGGCAGAAATTATAATCCATGTACTGACCACTGGATCAGGTTCCAGTGGCTTAATGGTCTACGAGCTTGCTGGACTTGTAACCAGAAGGTCCTGGGTTAAAATCCGACTGCGCGGGTGAGTACTAATAAAGAGTCTCAAACTGGGACGAAACAGCTGTCCAGTATTCCCAGGCTTTCACATTTCTTCGCTCATCTTATAAATCCTAGTAATTTTGCATTCCTTTCCATAATCTGCTTTATCACTCAGTATTGAACTATGATTATTTATCGCATTTCACAACATTCATATTTCACTATAAAATGCAGAGTCTTCTGAACACCCTTAGGAGCAGAAATCTTGGAATGTTTGGCATACGACTCGCTGCTGTTGTTAAATGCAAGATGGCGCTACAAGACGGGACTACACTGACCCACTACTAGCTAAAGATAGGGAGTGAAGTAGTTGACCACTTCACTTATTTGGGGAGTTGGATCAGACCACCCCAACGGGTTGATCTCTGACAAAATCTGAACAGGGGTACAGAAAGCTAGTTTAGAATACGCCAACTTACGCTGGAGTCCTCAGGATAGTAAAACCAATGAAGGCTGGAGACAATTGGTAACATGACTCAAAATCGTTCTCAATGGCTGGCACAGATGCACGTGATATAAAATGTCCAATAAAATTCTATTGTTCATCCATATTACTATTCTTTTTGGCTCACGTTTCTGTTTGTTATCTCTTCTGAATCTCTTTTTACTCTCTTCTCTTACTTTGTGCGCTACATGGAGGGAGTGTGGCAACTTGAACTGCTGCACATCTGTGCAAAGTTCCCCGTTGAAACCAGTCAGTCAGTCAGTTATCATTAGAGGTATTGGCACCTATTGTTTAAATATCTAAATTGGGTATAGTTTTTTAAAAAGTCATGCATAAATAAGCGATTGTACAGTTTGATAATCAATTCGTTGAAGGACATCTATATGCTTTTATATTATATTCTCCAAATGGGAACGAAATTACTGAAAACCATGGTGTATTTGGCAGTCGTTTCTCTGCAACTTGAGTTTCCTCATTCATACGGACTCACTGGGGTTCGAGAACAGGACCTTTCGGCTACAAAGCGAGGCTCTAGACCACGCGGCCACAGGGATCAAATACAATGGCCCACTGATTCCAACTTATGTCAGTTCGCGACATATAGCCAAACGCCTATGGTTGCGTGCCAATAAAGAATCCCAAGCTAGGAAAGAACAACTGTCCAACACTAGCTGGGAGTTTACCAGTGGTCGTCTGACCGACATTATACTTCGTGATCAATTCTATAACCTGTCAAATCTCTGCAAATTAGCACCTGAAACAAACCAACAACAACATAATAGAAATTACCTTTTCTTTATTGTTTTTGAAGCAACTACTCCTCTACCGGTTAAGCGTGATTCAGCCTCTTTCAAGGTTTCTTTATCCATATCGACTTCTATTTGATGCTACAAAAGAGTAGAAACATTTTTTAGCGATATTCAATGGGGAAGAAGAAAGACCCGGTTTCAGCATAGTAGACATTTCCATTTTGACATTTTGAAGAAAGAAAGACTGGGCAATGAATATTCTTTTCGATAACTTCTCCATCAGCTAGCTGCTAAAGTTCTTTCTGCACGTAATAATTAACGAGTAATTGCTATTGACAACAACGGCGAAGAAGTTCTTGTTCTTCAGACAGTTGGTGATAACATCAATGAAATAATAACACAACGCTTAAATAAATCCAGTAAAAAGAACATTCTCAATACAGAAGAAATATACTACCTCTTGATAACCACTTCTATTTCACTTTCGAGGACTAAGGATAAACGATTTAATTTCATCCTTTCTATGTATACCGATCAATGTGACCGCTTCTGTGTATCCAGTTACATAGAGCTTGCAATTAGGCATGTTCATCATCCTTGGATTTCTGAGCATCTTTTTGTGTAGTTAAGCAAGGAACAAATAACGTCTATTCGTATTTCGTAGTTTTCGTTGACCTCATACAGAGTGAACATAAATTTTGATGTTAACAAGACGTTTAAAGTTATCTACCGTATTTCGACGAGCTCATTCTCTACATGTTGCTGAAGCCATCTCAGAATACACCTGGAGAAGTCAAACTTATGTGTTCAGACGCTTGGCCGTACCTTGGCCATCATTAGTTTAACTATCTCTAATTGTTGCTTACATTTTCTCATTAATTTCTTCTGATATTCAACTTAGTATTACATTTTCTAGGCATGTTATTACTTACACATACTTTTCCAAACTATAATTCTATTGATCTTAACAACTCGATATTATTTTAAAAACTATTAAGGTTGTCGACAATGATTATTCTTTAAATATCATGTGTATATACAATTGTAGAGTCAAATGACGAAGTGATCGAAAAGTCTATTCTATGTTGACAGTAAATGGTTGGAAGCAGTCAGTGGGCAGAAAGCCCCACTTGACCTCGGTTTCGTGCTTGTTGGCACTCACAAGTCAGCTAATCTTGAAGGGACTCATGCCCCCCTTTTTAGATTCGAACCTATGTCTTCCAGTGCTGCAGTTAGAGACACTACCACTGAGCTATTCGGGCCCACGATTGACCTCCTGTAGGACTGTATTGGATATTTTGATTGGACACTAACTAGTTTAATGTGTCTAGTCTTTTGTTTGATGCAGACCGAATTCTATCAGTCAAGTTTGCAATATGGCCACCATGCAAGGTGGCTCGCCATCACGGTTCACTATGAATTGTTGCTATTAGGTGGTTGGAGGCAATCGGCAGGAAGTCCTGGACCTGATCGAATTCAGTATGAACCAAAAGATGGGGCTAGACATATTACACTAGTTACTGGCTACTGTCTCATCAAGACTATACCTTGTTCACTTTTCTCTTTTGTCGTCTAAAAAGACAATTTCAGGGAAGATAAACTTTTGTTTCGATGAAGTTATCAACCAAACTGTACATTTGTGAATACAAAGCAAATAGATGAGAAAGTTGGGAAACTAATTCCATTGAATTCAAAATATATAGAATGAAATGCTCTCCGGAACACTATTCAGTCTGGTTAGCATATTCCTAAATGGCTCCAGAAATAAATGGAGTCTTCAGAACCTATTAACGGTGAGAACAGGAGACCTAGCTCCTCTATTGCGAAACATATTATACAGACAGGACATAAAATTGACGTTAACAGATCTTTTAAACCTATCTATAAAACGTGTTTGGGGCGTATCCTCAAGTTTGTGGAAGCCCTAGCAATTAGAAAGCTTAAACTACCTCTATGCGTTCAAAAACAATTCGTCATCACATTAAACCTTCCTTGGTAAATTTTGTTTTGATACCAGCTATGGCAGATGTACTATTACCTCTGCTATTCGGTTTAATGGTCTTCATTGTTATTTTGACCTTGAATATGTCCTTTTAACTTGACCTAAGTCTATTTTCTCACCTCTTTATTAATTTCATATATACACATTCCTTTGACAAGTCCGTGTGTGATCAGATTGTTCGAAATATGTTGCGCAAATACATTACATGATTCAGAAAAATTACGTCTTCCTATTGCTTTATCTAAATTCATAAAGGGAACTAACTGTTTTAAAAGAAAAGAAAATAGAAATATGCCTCTATCACGATAACAGAACACCCTATGAGCTCAGGATACTCACCTGAATTTCAGAAATGCTTCAAAGTCCTGTACAAGATCACTACAAAACCTCTCAAAGGGGGGGGGGCTGAGACCAAATGACCTCCTAGCATAGATGAAGTATTAGCGGTCAAAAAAATTCAAGCCAATGCTATGTATTCAAAAGAGGTACATCCAATCATTATCTTTATCATTGTCGTCATAAACAGTCCATTTTCCGATCATGTTATTGATCCGAACTTCCTGTTTATTTTTTCTTATTATTATAATGATTCTTATACCAATTGGTATTACACAATTTCATCTTGTTATTTTAATATCTGATTTGGACTTTTTCACCTCTTTGTTATTAATGTTCACGAATATACAGCCTAGTTGACGATTTCGTCTAAAAGTATCTATGTATATATGGATCATGCATCAGACCGTGGGGACTGAGAAGACAAGAATACATTGGACCGACAAGAAGACTCTAGAAGATCTAGATTTCGCGTGTGGATCGGTTATGTTCGTTGTCATACAACCTCGAAGACTTACAGGCAGGCGAAAACCAACAAACTGGTTGAAGAAGCGGGCGAGCAGAGAAGACAAGACTACAGGTGAACAAAGAGAAGATGGAAGTTATGAAGATAACCAACCAACGAACAGCAACAAAAACAACCAGTACCAATCACCATCAACAGGAGAGATTTGACAGAGGTTACTTCCTTCACCTATCTAGGAAGTATAGTTTCAGTCATAGCCAGGCGAAATGGATGATGACGTCAGAGCCAACCAGCCAGCAAGAATCGGAAAGGCAAGATGCACCTCCATCAACCTGAAACCAGTTTGGAAATTTTCCGCACTTAGTCAGACAGCATAAAGAAGAAGTTTCGGATTTTCAACACAAATATGAAGATAGTCTGTCAGTTCATCTGTACTTACTTTGCTTACTTTGCTTCGGCTATCTCCTACGGAAGGATGAGCCGGCTTCATGAACATCTCGAATCATCGCTACCCAGGCGCAGCGATCTGATGAAGAGAGTTTACGAAGTTTCATGGGAATTTGGTACGAGTGATGTCCCCAGAACCACTCGGCCTTTTGTTTGAGAGTGCAGCTCTAGCCTTTACACAACCAAGTGTGGCCTACAAGGCAGTAGGAGTGGAGTAGGGAGTCCACTATCCATTGGCAGCCGGTGACTGGAGTTCGGTTCATACGCCTTTTTGAATGGGGCCAGACATCCAGGACATCCAACAAGCCCTTTGTCCATACGTCTGCCGGTGAGCTCCAGTGGGCTTCATACGCCAGTCGTTGGAGGTTTGGAATCAGGGTTTAGCCATCTCCCCTAGACTGTCATCCAATGGGCAGTCAATCCGGTGAAGAGCGCCGGGCATCCGCTTTCGCCCTCTCACTTTGGTGAAAAACACCTCCGCCACGTGAAGGCAGTGAGTAGGACTTCCTCAGGAGAGGCTATGTAAGACGCCCGGTCATATGGGAGCATTTCAAGAGGTGTGCGGAGGGGTGGCCAACCCGCAGCGCAAGGCACCCACCCCCGACCATCCTGAGGCTTTGGAGGCTGTCAGAGACTTATACTGCGTGTCAGGAAAACGATTTCCAACAAGTTACAAACTTCTATCAACAGCTGCCCCCTTCTCTTGCTCTATGTTGAAGATTAAATGATCAGCCGGCCAGCCAGAGAGAATTAGCAACAAGAAACTCTGGCTGGAAACAAACCAACAGGCGAGAGCAGATTGCTGAACAGATATGCAGGAGAAAATGGAGGTGGATTGATCAGGCATACATTGAGAAGGCCGTTGAATGACATCGCGAGCCAGCCAGGCCATGGCTCAACCGGAATCCTCATGGGAAGCGACGAGTGGCGTGTCGGTGCTATGGTGACATGGGGGAAATCGTATGAGTTGCAGGAGGAGATAAGAAGTAACAGGAAATCGTGGACCCAGGTGAAGAGGACAGCAGATAATGGAACAAAGTGGAGATGCGTTTTTGCAGCCGGATGTTCCACTCCGAAGCCAAGGTATTTATAACCATGGACAAGTAATGTCCAGATGTCATGTGAATAAATGATACGTTACTCTCTGTTTATCATCAAACTAGCTGCCCAACTACGTCATCTTCATCTTCTCATAATAAGTTGAAAGGTGAAAAGCTGATTATTGATTGATTTTGAGACAGTCCGAGACAGGTGAGTGGTGGCAGACTGTTCTCAGTACAACGATGAGCTGGTTGACAGTGAAGTGTAGCAGTTCATCTGGTAGAGTGCCTCAGAATTTATTCGGAGGCCTCTTCTGTGAATCCTGTCACGATCCATATTCCCACATCACCCAGTGCATCAATAAAAGTCTATCAAATTAAGACAATGTTAGATTATCTCACCATAGATATATACACATATATGTTTGAGAAAAAAGACAACTTACAGCAATTTCTTTCAGAGTTTCACGTGACATTTTCTGAATTTGATTTCTGAAACTAACCCATTGACTAGACGAGTAAGTAAAGATATTGAAAAAAATAAAAATAAAATCATTATATTCATCTAGAAAGTAGCAGCAAAAGATAAAGACAAAATAATCAGTCGATCAGCTCTGATGTTATCATCATACTGAAATAGACCAATCAGAGAATGTGTAGGTCACTTATAAGTGCGTAGGCGTTAGTGCGGACAACTTAAACGTTATCTGATTGGTAGATATTAGACTGCAAACATAACGGATAATCCAATTGATTATGACCTTTAATCACTGTACATAGAAATGGTAAATGAAGTTAAACTTGTAACTTTATATTAAACTTAAGGAATTAAAATGGGCAAGCGAATATTTTTAAAACCAGCGGATTTCAGTTAGATATGGGTAGTGCTAGGATAAAGTTAAATAGATTATATCCAGTTTCACAGTGCTCTTAAATGAAAAAAATGTTGTGTTTATTCTTGATTATTTGCATGAAATGTCTAGCGCTTTGATGATATTAACATTTTATCAACATTAATTATCTCTCCAGATCTAGAGAGGTATTCAGGACAAAATTTAACTTTCAAGTATTGGTTTGCAGCAAGGATTCAATTGATCGGTTGCGGGATTTCATCATGAGCTGACATTGGTTAGAGGACCTTTGAAAAACTGGCTGAGAGTATTGGATAGCTGCTTCGTCCTACTTTGGGACTCTTCACAGAGCTGACCTTGTAACCAGAAGGTCATAGGTACGAACTTTGGCGATGCGTACATACCTCTGGAGAGTCCTAAACTAGGCTGACGAAACAGCTGTCCAGTACTTCCAGGTTCTCCGGTGGTTCTCAAACCTACGTCAGTTCATGATGAATTCCTTAAACTAAATTCAAACTATAGCAGTCAGTAGGGATGATTTATGTTTGATGTCACACAAACTTGAAGACCTACAAGTATGTTAAGACGGACTAACTATCTTTGTTAGTCTTGAAGTTATGAGTGATATATGTATATATATATATGTGCACCGACATAATAACCTGACTGTAAACCTTTTGTTTGATTGACTTTTGATGTCTTAAAACGTCGCGCAATCAATCAGACATTGATTATCTATTTATCCTTTAAATTCCTGTTGAGGTGTTAACGATTTAAATATATATACATATACTCCATCTTGTGAAGAATAAACGTTGCTGTTATCGCAATTGTTGCGGTTGGATCTGGAACCTGTGTCCACCTTAGTGTGGGAGAATATTTTCTAGTGAACATTTGGAGATAACGTCGTGTCTGACGGGACTGTTCACTTTACTGCCGTTGTAACAAAGTGAAAACAGGTATCCATGTGAACAATGAAGAGACAAAGTGAAGATATCCAAAAGAACAACAATCAACACCAGTCATCATCAATTTGGGTGGAGGGTGGAGTCCAAAGAAAATCGTCTCTTTCACCTTATCTAAGCAGCATTGTTTCAATTAAAGACAACAAAAGTGAGGATATCAAAGCTGACCAGGATCGGGAAAGAAATAGAAGTCCATCTTAGCTTGAAATCAGTGTGAAAATCTGCCGAACTCAGCACAAGGAACAACATCTGAATTTCTAACACTGTCAGTTTTTCGGCTAGTGCTTCTATACGGTTCAGAGGCTTGATGTGCTCATCACAGAAACAGACCACTGCATCAGTAACTGCCTTAGCTTCATACTGAAGATCAGACGGCCGACTGGAAATCGTAAGAAAGGAAGAACTCTGGCAACTAAAAACCTGTTGCCTAACAAATATGTAGAAGGAAATGAAGATGAGCCAGGAGCACATTGAGGAGACAGTTGGGTTGCGGCGGGAACTAGCTGCAAGCCAAAATTGTAGACAGCAATTTACGTCAATGTTACGTCCCGAATCAGGGTCACGAGTAGGGACAGTAACAAAGCTTAACCTTGAGGAACCCACCAACCAATCATAGCAAACTTAACGTGTGCAAATACGATTCGCAGATATATGGATTTACTTTCTGAGAAATGGTCACAGGCTGTATGGAATAACCTTTAGCAAGGAAACAACCAATCAGAAGACGTTGCTCCTCTTATAACAATAACGCTAATAACAATATACATAAAACTCTAGAAATATCCCTTGATTTTCTCAATAAACGACCTTTTCCCTGGTCCTTGTCTTCTGTCGTTACGGAGTAACATTTCACGTAATACAAATCTTCAAGCAGAATATGAATGAGAAACAAGTTGAGCGTTACTTCGAGAGTGACATGGAGGAGATCGTCCAAGGAGGAGATGAAAGTTTATCAGCAATCGTGTAACCTGCTGAATAGGACTCCACAAAAAAGGATGATATAGAAATGCGCTGGTGAAGCCCCACATTCCATTTGGAACTTAACAACAATGGAACCAGAGACATACACGTGTTTTGTCACATCAGGGACTCATCATCTGCACACAGCTGCATCGTCAGTGACTGATAGCGTTCGCACTGAAACTCCAACAGCGCACTAACCACTTAGGTGCTTTCAAATCTCCCCTGGTTGATCATGATAGCCTGAAATGTTCAGTCACTATTAACACTTCCGATAACACTTTTTTTATATACAGCTTGATTCCATACCGTATTTTTGGTACATGTATGGAATTTTCAGCATGTGATATCAGTAGACCACATTTCGCAAGCCGAACATTGATATAGGATGTGCGTCAGTAGGGGATCGAACCCCGAACCATGTGCATGGTCGGCGAGAGTCCTAATCGCTGTACTGGGTTCGAGTGTCAATGGAAATACCACCAATCAGTGAAGAATGCAGACATGTTCAGATGACAAATCCCATATGGGACGAAACGCTTATCCTGGATCCTACGACTAGTCACTATCCACCAAATGACAACATGTTAATTTTCAGACATCTTCGAAGCATCTGTACCAGGCGAAGACAAACCTACAGAGACCGATTATTTCAGTCCGTTTGAAGACCAGTCAATACGAAATATATAAAATAACTTTAAAAGAAATGAACATGGTGTGCATCGGTGGTTAAGGGGTACAGTGCTCCCCAAGCTCACTGTAATGCTGAATTAAATCTCTCTCATTCTGAAATCGTTCTGAAATGGTTTGATTATGCGCACAGATTAGAAATTAGTGCAGGTTTTCAGCTTGACTGGCACTAATTCAGCACCATGTGCTTTTCCTAGGTATTTTCAGAAGTAGCTTAGAACCTGCTGGGTTTGTTAATCAGGGTTAATTCAGCCCTCTCAGTCCAGATTCAGCACGGACTGACATTACTTCAGGACAACAAGACTTAGTTCAGTGCATAGTGGCAAATTTTCAAGCTTTGTTTCAGCTGTAGATCCTATTTTTAAGGTTTCGTCGCATTAATTAAGTGTTCAGTGCTTTTTTTAAGAACGGCCAGAGTTATTTCAGTATATAGTTGCTTAATTTTAGGTTGATAAAATATTCGTAGGTTAGTATAAGCTTAGAATTATGGTGAGCCTGAGTCACTAACTACTCTATACGTGATCCGGAGTTCGACCCCCGACTGATGTACTTCTTAACCTTGCTTAAACGGTAATAGGACAGATAAAGACGAAAAGGTCGGCGTGATGTTGATACATACACCTAGTTTTGTCTAATTTTGCCTAAAACCCTAAAGTAACTATTTGAAGGAATTATCGCACATTGGTATGAGCCCTTTGTTTTTCCCTCTGTTTCGATCGCTGGATTCCTATCAGCTGTTAATACTTTTAATCCATCACTGAATTACTGCATTTTCAAGGTCAGGTGACCCTAAGCTGTAGCAGCCCGAAACGGAACTACTTGATGAACGAACTGACGGCCATGACGAATTTATTGACAGGAACTGGTTTAAACTGACTATGAGGACTTCTGTGAGAAACTGGGAGGTTTCTTTTTGGGAACATTAACAAGAATATTATCCTATGTAACCTGTTTTTAACACTGCATTACTTGGATATAGACGTTTATTTCAAATTGCGCACTTCTACTTCTTACGAATCTGATTGGTCGCTAGAGGTAGTTTCGTTTTGGGCTGCTATAGTTTAGAGTTAACCCAATTAATTATAAAACTGATAAAGTTTTGCACAAAAATGACGTATATTAACAAGAAAATGCATGAAATCACATTTAACAGATTATCTTTCTCTGACATGACTTTAAAAAAATCGTCCCAGTCAGTTGCCAAGTCAGACTACCTTCTGTACATGTATTCATCGAGGTGACTGAAGATGAGCTGTTTTCGTGAACCGTTCAATTATTATGGTTTCCAGTAAGAGGATCGACGACTACTAACCAGGAAAATGAGGATAATGAAACAGATTAAAATTAATGACATCAACTATAAATCTATCCGTAATTGTAACTCTAACCTTAATTCTGACCCTAACACTAACCCTAACCTTAATCATTACTCATATCCAAACCGTAATTCTAACCCTTATGATAATTATACCCCTGATCCTAACCCTAACCCCAAAACTTACCTTAACCCTAACCCTAAACCTAAAGAGCTATTAACACATGGTCGAAACAGTACTTAAAAATGTGTTCTGGGTGACATTTTCTACTCAGCTGGTGAATAGCGTTAAAATTTCAGCAGTGATAGTGACAGATGCCATTAGCCAACGACTAGCATGCGTACAAGGTTATTGAAGCGTTCGCACTCCTGGGACGCTATTGTTGAACTTCGTCCTCTTATCGACGTCCAATCTTTTCTTTCGTCTTTGCGTGCCCGTGGTGTCATTGTTGTTGTTGTTGTCGACGTGCGATTAGGACAGATTAGCCAGACCATTAAATTAGTACTCACTCATAGTCCACTAGGTTGCAGTTCCGGTCATAACAGATGTGTGGAACTCCACCGCCCAAAAAGAATAAACACTAGTTCCTACTGAAACTTTGAAAAGCTTAAACTTGAAGCTCTATGTTTCTTCCTTAAAGCAAAAGATTAAAATAATGGTGCAGTTCAACAATAGCGTCCCAGGAGTGCGAATACTCTAATGACCTTCAATGCACCTTAGTGGTTGGCTAATGGCACCTGCCATTATCATAGCTGAAATATTAGTGCTATTCACCAACTAAGAAGAAAATTTCACCCAGATCACGCTTTTAAGTACTGTTTGGATAATGTGTTAATATCTCGTTAGGGTTAGAATTATGGTTAAGGTAAGTATTGGAGTTGGGGTTAAGATCAGGGTCACATTTTAGAATTAGCGTTAGGTTTACGGTTAGGATTAGGGTTGTAATTAGGTTAGGATTAAGGTTGTGGTTACGATTAGGGATACATTTAGAGTTGATGTCACTTATTTTAATTTTTAAAGTAAGTAGTTGTCGATCCTCTCACTAGAAACCATAGTAATTCAACCTAAGGCTTTTGGAGGAGACTGCAGAACAGAATAAGAGGGGTAAACCATTCACAAAAACAGCTCATTCTCAGTCACCTTGATGAATACATGTAGAGAAACTAGTCTAACTTAGCAACTGATACTCTTCACCATAACGAAGAGGTATTTTCAAGTCATTTCAGAGAAAGATAACCTGTGTAATGTGTTTTCATGCATTTTCTTGTAAATATACATCAATATTCGTGCAAAAATTCCTCATTTTTATGATTGGTCAGCTCAAGGTCACTAGTGTGTTCGTATCCTTGGGATGCTATTGTTAAACTTTACCAAAATAACAATGACAATAATAATAATAATAACAAATTGTGTAGATAAACATTAGGGCTTAGTTAAAGCACCACTAACTATCAGTGGATTCCGACCGCGCCCATGACCCTCACTGAACAAGTAAGTGAAACTTGACAAATAATGTTGTCATTATCAATAAAATATGCTCATCCAAGTGTCATGCTATTAAATAGGATATCTGGCAAGTTTCAGCTTAGGTTTTGGAAATATTAAGTAACAGTTTAGGCCAACGATAAGTTAGGGTTAGGTTAACCCAATAAAGGTGACATTAGGGTTAGTTCAAGTTAGATTAGGGTTAGTTTAGGGATATTTTCACACCAGGGTTATGTTCAGGAAAGATCAAGATTAGAAGACTTAAATAATTACATGCACATAATGTGGTTAAATTACTCTGTTGATATAAGAATAGAGCTTATGCCCTATGGCAGAGTATAATTCCATTGTGGGTAAAATTTATTTTGAAAAAGTCTCACAGTGTGTTATACAGTAATATTTACTGATGACCATATTTTGAGCACAATCTATTGCCCAGTAAATATCACTGCATAACACTGTGAGACTTTATCAAAATAAATTTTACCCACTTTGGGATTATACTCTGTTGATACTCCAACCTAAAACTGAGAGCTATTTTTATCACATATGAGAGAAAGGTATCCTCTGTAACACTTTTCCACAGTTTTTATGCATTTTTTCATAAATAAATATCTATTCCATACACAAAAATGCTTCCTTCACATGATTGGTGCGTTCAAGGTCATTCGCTGATTGGTAGTTAGTGGTGCTTAAAGTTTAACTTTGCTAACATTAATTATCTAAAGACAAAAATTTAACAAGGAAGCTTACTTTTCACTTTGTTTAGGCATATTTGATTTTTTCATGAATTGTACACATCGTCGATTTGTTGTTGTCGATGTATCATCAGCAGTTGAGAAAAGGCCAAGCAACTTTTGATTATATATTGATGATCGTGATGTTGAAGGATTAATACCCTCTTGACTGTTCATTCTTGAAAGAAAATTCAAGCGTTCTTCTGATTTTGATAGTGGAGTAGATTCTACTTCAGACAGTTCATCGATTGATTCAGCAACTGGAAATAAAAAGGAGGTATTTGTAATTTTCTGGGCTGTAATCCATGAGGCATGAGATAGAATATGGGCTAAAACTAATCGTATATAGATGAACTAATAATCAAGCACACTAAATAAGACTTTTACATAGTGCTCAGTTCATTTGGGACTTCGTTTGGTATGGTACTCATAAACTGTGTTAAAATTATGTCTGTGTTACATAGGCCGTACAGTTAGGCGTGTTTCTCGTCAGATTTCCAAACATCACCCTGCGTGGTTAAGCAAAGGACAAACAAAATCTATTTGCAGCTCTATTCTTTCTCATCTTATGGAGACGGAACACAAGATTGACGTTAACCATGCTTTCAGGGTCATTTACTGCATGCATAAGAATCTCAATTTTGCTTTAAGAGTTCGACTACTACATATTGCTGAGGCTGGCCGTTGGGATCCATTTTAACAAGCCTAATTTATGCATCCAAAAGAAGTTAGTTCAAACATTATCACTACCTTGGCCATCCAGGTTTGAATAATCCGGAATTTTTGAGGAATTTCCCTAATTTCAGTTGATATTCTATTCGCTATTATATCTTTATTATTATTGTCATAATTTAAGCATCTTTAATGAACTGTAATTCCGTTGTGATCTCACTTAACAAATCGATATTATTTAAAAAACACTAATATTGTTAGTGACTACTAATCTAGAATATTCTATGTATATAAACATATGTATATATAATTGTAGAGCCGGAAGAGGAATTTATCGAAAAGAATATTATTTGCTCGATTATTTTGTGTTTTATAAACTTTTGTGTGGTAAACTAAAAATCAATACACCACCGACTGAAAACTACGGGACATATGTGATACAGAAGTCATCCCTACCGGAACAAGCTGGATTCAGGAAAGGCAAATCATGTGCGGATCAAATTGCAACACTACACATCATCATCACAGAACAAAGCATAGAATGGCAATTAAACATGCCCCTACCTCAATGACTTCATCGACTTTGAAAAGGCCTTCAACAGCTCAACGTAGACCAAGAAGTAATTTGGAAACTACTTGAACTGTACGGCGTCCAGTGCCCAAGTCGTTGTCAACCTCATCCAACAGCGAGGCGTTCGAAGTTAATACACGAGTAAGACAAGGCTGCCCACCTATTATCACCGATGATATTCCTAACTGTAGCGGACTGGATCATCAGGAAGACTGTGGGGAGCGGGAAAACAGGAATACACCGCAATGACCAACAAGAAGACTCTAGAAGATCTGGATTTCACTGATGATCTATGTCTAACGTCAGATAAATTCGAAGACCCACAGGCGATACCCAACCAGGAGCCAGAAGAGGCAGGCACCGAAAACATGACTTCAAATGGACACAGTGCAGATGGAAGTGACGAAGACACCTAAGCAACAAGCACCAACCAATGTCAGCAGGAGAAATCTGTAAGGCGTTACTTCCTACACTTATCTAGATAGCATCGTTTCAACTACAGGCACTCTTGACGGATAAAGATGTTGAAACCAGCAAGAATCAGAAAGACATAGTGCGCCTGCATCACTCTGAAATCTGTTTGGAAATCCTCTGTACTCAGCCAGCATAAAGAACAGGAATGAGATATTCAACATCGATGTTGTGTCAGTCAGTTCTTCTACATGGGTCAGAAATTTGGCTCACGCATCACTCGGAGCACTTTGAAGAGGCTACTGTAGAGTTTTATCAACAGCTGAACATTTCGCTGCCCACTAAGGATCAGATCACCGTAAAGAATTATCCAGCAGCGACTGTGGGAACAAATTAATCAAGAATCTATTGTTCAACAAATATGTAGTAGGAGGTGGAGATGGGTTAGACTCACGCTGAAGAGACCAGTGGGTGACAGCTCGCACCTAACCTTCAAGTAGTATCCGAGTAGGAAACGACGAGCTTGATGTCACTTAAAGAGTGACATTCAGGAGACTGTATGAGGAGGAGTGGAAAGTTTATGTATAATCGTGGGACCAGTCAAAGAGGATTTCACAGAACATTATGAAATAGAGGTGTGTTGGTGAGGCCCGATGTTCCACTTGGAACCCAAGAGAATAATAACTATGATAAAACTCGAATCAACGAATATTTATCCCTAACCAGAGAAAGTCAATTACATACTATAGTTTGATTTCATAAGGAAACTATTGTAGAACATTTTTTCTGGAATACGATGTTTAAAAATATTTGATTTGGCAGTAGAATCACATTTATATACAACCTAATTTTCACCAAAGACTATAGTAACAAAAGTGATGCATGGGTTATCAATGTCACACTTAAATAATAGAGAAGATTTGTACCTCAGGTGGACGATTTGCAGTTAGTGGTGTTCTCTGAGCTGGTTGGTTTAATTGCGAAGCTTTTTCCGTCCTTCTGGACAACATTCCCTTTCAGTGCAAGTTTTAGCATGTCTTTTTCGCTTACGTCTCCTACACATAGCTGAAGCTGTTGCAATAAGATCGACTAAACCGGAATTTAGTATCCAAAAAGAGCACGTCCAGACGCTGTTCCTACACTGGCCAATCTTGGATTGATGATTCTTCTCACCAGGAGTGCCTCTTCCCCTTGACCCTGTTGATTTTTTTTTCTTGTTTTGCTTATTTTTACAATTATTATTACTAATCGCCATAATTTCTATCCTTCATGCAAACATTCCGTCAGTACTATCGAATTTTCCATTTATACTCTCCGGACTTATTATTAGTGATATTATCTCGTTTCTCAATATATACCCCCACCTGTTTCATTTCACACATTCATTATTTCATGATGAACTTCTTATTGCAGTCTTTCTATCTCCTCCTCTTTAATACATACCACTTTGTACTAGCCACTCACTCACTCACCTGACACCTTTTATAACACTGAGCTGACTTGTCAATTTTTCCTACCCGACACTCTACAAATCTATTATGAAAACTAATCACCACTACCATTGTCTCCTATTTCACTGAAGTATTTTGTAATCGATTTCAGCCTAGCACATTTGTCACACAAATACGACTCCATAATCCGTTATTCTACGTTAAAAATGTATCCGCCGCATAACTGGCTATCATTATTGTAACGACAATAAATATTATATTTTATAATTGTAAGAAGCTGAAGAGGAGAAATAATTGAAAAAGATATATTCTTCGTTCAGATTGACTTTTAATTCTACCCTTGACTAATTTCTTATGTTCTTATTATCTGACTACCCCGGAACTACCTGTATGACCTATATAGCTGATCTCAAGGTCATTTCAACGAATTTAGCAGATTACGAAATTTTCTCTAATTCGGTCAGTAGATTTGTTTGGCCTACAGAGCTTGTCGGTGGGTATAGCGGTTAGGATGCTCGCCGACCATGCATATGGTCCGGGGTTCGATCCCCGGCCGACGCACTCCTTTACCTCACTAAGCCAGGAATAATGCTGGTGAAGAGGAAAGGTTGGGCATGAAGCTAGCAACCCCATCCCGTAAAATAAACACTGCTACAGAAACTTCAAGCCACTAGCTTGAAACCCTATGTTCCACTGGGAACGTGAAGGAATAAAAAAACAGAGCTTGTCTCTGACTGAGTTTGTAAGTTTAAATGTCACCCTAATTCTCGATTTGTTAGGAATCCCTTTCCCTTAAAATTTTAGATGCCTTAGACTCTTCCTTATTTACATTATTGTTAGTAGGTGAAATTTCACTCTGGAATACGGTATTTTTCAAAGGCCTAATTCAATGCTACTTATTCTCATTTCACTTTGGATCCCGATCTAACTTGACTATCTGAGTTGAATCAATCAGCTTGATTAGAAATATGTGAAAACACTATCATCCAAAGATTGGATTACCATAATCTGACTAGCAGCAAACATTTACTGGTGTGAAAATTCTTCCATCGAAAATTTAAAAGTATAATGACAGATTAGTTTTCAAATCACTAAAAATATCACCTGAAGAGTGAGTCCAAACTAAAAGATCTATTTTCGAGTGTCAGATTTTGCAAGGGTTGATCGGAGTGATTTCAAGTAAAACTATAAGACAGTGTTAGATAGAGAACCACTGAAAAACTAAGGTGCATCACAAAACACTTGTTTCGCCCTGGTTTGGGACTCTTCAATAGGACGAATTCTTTTGTTTTGAGTTCTACTAAGAAGTTATGATTGGGTGTAAGGACAAACACTTACCAATGACACTGGTTCCTAATGGCTGAAAATAAAAATTCATGAGTCATCGGATGCCATCCCATTATCTGAGTAGTCAACACGTCCGTCTCATTACCTGAGGGTATTTGATTCGATCCCATGTAGACTGTGTAACAAGAGTGTGTGTGTACATTCAGGAGACCTTACCTCATAATTATTGCAAGGTATTTTACATATATTGCGTTATTTTGTGTAATCGAGTCAACTACATATAATCCCATTTATAATATTAGAACAAGACATATAAGCGAACAACATTGTTTTCAGTTAGATCTTCTTCAGGCTTTACTCTAATTTACATAGATTTATGTATAAAATTTTAACCAATGACGGTGATTTTGGGAATCAAATAATAATCTTAATAATTTTAATATTAATAATGTGGTAAATGTTTTGAACGTAGATAATAACGATGATTATAATGATAACAAAATATTGATAATAAGGTTTATGCAGGTGATAAGAATAACAAAGATAGTATATGTATATAAGTGTATAAATAAATTGGGTCAAATCTTAAAAGGTGAAGTGGAACGATAATCAGAGTTTAAATAAATATTATAAAAGTACAAAGGAGGTGGAAAATAAGAAAGGGTGGGAGGGTTTTGAATACAGTTCACCTAGGCCAAGGGAGAGACAAAGGTAGAACAAACTTCTTTTGTATGCAAAGACTAGGATTGTTCTCTCGAATTAATTCCCATAGCTTCGGCTATGTGTAAAAGACGGTTTCTGATTCCATTCGAAAGACTCGATGGAATACGATAGATAACTTTGAAAGCACTATTTTTGTCCACTTGGTGACCGCTATCAATCAAATGAGCCAAAATAGAACTTCGTACGGATTTTATTTGACCTTTTCCAAACCATGAAGGAAGATGCTCATTAATGCGTTTCTTCAGCTGTCTAGTTGTTCGCCCTATATAGCTTTCTCCACAGGAGCAACTAAACTTATAGATACACATCGAAGTGGCACAACTAGGTAGCTTATCTTTCACTTGGAAAATGACAAACAAAGGGTGGCGGCAGTATAAGTCCGTTTTATCGCTCTCGATAATCTCAGATAATCTGAGATTATGTCTTGTTCTAACTACATATAGGTGAACAGTGCCTGTAGATCGGTGGCATCAGGTCGTCAAAGCATAAGGATTCAATCAATTATCAAATGAATGACCCCAGAAAAAACAAATAGTTTAGAGGGAAACACTTAGCATTCACCAGCAAACATGGAGAGGAGCCACACTTCTCAAAAATTAACGTTAGGTAGGTAGAGGGAAAGGTTGACCATTGAACCTTTGTTCGTTGGATTTACACCCCCCCCCCTCCCCGCAATTTGCAATAGGAATAGCACAGCCCCAGTATGAGGCATGCTGAAAATGTTATTACCAATAAAATCAAAGGGTAAGGGTTTGATCACGAGTTGATATCAGTCAGAGAACCACTGGGAAAAAACCTGAAAGTGTTAGACAGCTGTTTTGTCCTATTTTAGGACTCTTCAGCAATACACACTAACGATCCCATCGGGGACCCGATCCAATGGTCTGTGAATCTTAACTTCCACCAATTCGCGATATATATATGTATATATACATGACTCAACTGCCAGTCATTGTCAATGGAGATTAACTGTCCTCTCGCTTGACTTGCTGGTCTCCTTTGGTTACAGGCAACATCCTGTACACAAGAAATCTCTAGTGAGCATCAGAATAATTATCAATTATTGGTTTTCAAGGATTTGGTCGGTTATTGGTTAGACGAAGAGCTGACATCAGTTAAAGAGTGACTGGGAAAAAGGAGGGTACTAGACACCTGCTTCATCCCACTTGAACAGGGTCTCAATGACTGAGTGGTCTATAAGCTCACCTGATAACTGGCAGGTCGTACATCCAAACCTCGGTGGGTGCATACTGTTAATGAGGCACAAACCAGGACAAAACACCTGACTGACTGTCTAATACTCTCAGGTTTTCTAATGGTTCGCCAGCTAACATCAACTCGTTACCAAACTTATAAAAAAAGATTGGTAACAGGATTTCATCATGAGCTGACATTGGTTAGAGAACCATTGGAAAACCAACAAGGAGTACTGGACAGCTGTTTCGTCCTAGTTTGGGACTCTTCATCAGTACGCATCCATATCATGAGGTTCGAAACCAGAACCTTCTGGTTACAAGGCGAGCTTGCACGTAGACCATTAAGCCACTGGGACCCGATCCAATGGCCCATGAATTCAAACCAGAAGTTCCTGGGTTCGAGAAGCATGATGCGGGTGCGTACTGCCGAAGAGTCCCATACTAGGACGAAACAGCTGTCCAGTACTCCCTGAAGGTTTTCCAATGGTTTTCTAACTAATGTCAGCTAATGATGAAATCCTGTAACCAATCAACCAAATCCCTACAAACCAATACTTCATTATTAAAAAGGAATTTAAGTGAAAATCGAGTCAAGTATAAACTTTACTAACCGGATCTTGACATTCTTTTCATTGATTGTGATTTGATGAAAGCTGAAAGTGGAGTTGTACACTTTTGATCTGATGACTGTGTTCCAGATTGTATAGAAGTTAAACTATGCGCTGAACTAATCTACAAAAAGAGAAATTCAATAAAAAATAAGGATAATTGATCAAACATTTAAACTATATGTAATAATAATAATAATTTGCTTTATTCCAAAACAGTACTTGTGATACAGAATGGAATTCTCAGCATTTCACTACAGAATTGCATCCAGTTAGTACATTAACAATAAATAAAATTCTACACAGATTAAAGGTAATCTCAGTTAGTGTTGACAACAACATATTGGCATGTCGGTAGCAAAACCAAAATTGAACAGAGTGTTTGAAGGTGTTAGAAAAGTAGGTGCTAGCATATTTACTGGCGTAAGCGGAAGAAAGAAACAAAGCAGCACATAACAGAAACAAGAGAGAGGGAGAAAAGGAAAAAGAAAGAAAGAAAACGTTGTACCTATAAATGATATGAGTTGGAAAGACGAGATCCAGTTGTACTAATGACTATTTAATAAGTTGTAGGTGTCACGCCTAATGCTTTCTTTATCGCACAGAACACGAACCAAGTAGGGTATGGTTGAGTTTCTGTACTTGCTGGTGCGAGCATATAGTTTTCTATATTGGCTTCTGGGTTTACCTGATGAGATGCAGGGGGAGAGTTGTGAGTGAAGAGGGTGGAGTGAGTTAGATAAAATGGATTTAGTCCATTTTTCACATGAGTCCAAGTGCCTGTCAACCAGAATATTAACAAGCTGGTTAAGTGGCACTTTGCTTACCCTGCTGACAACCTGCGTAATAAGGTATAGTCTTTCTTCAGTAGCTAGGGAAAAACTAAAACATTTGTAATAGAATTAAGTAACAAAATTGCTCGATATCTTCGGTATAAAAGTAAACTAAGCAATGACTTCATTTAGACAGTGTTCAGTGGTCAACAACAGATGTCTTCAATCAATACTGTTCAATATCAGGGGGCCAGAAATGACCAACAACAGAGATCTCTGGCAATGAACGAATCAACCCAACCCAGCAGGAACCAATTGTGCAACAAATATGCAGGAAGAAATGCAGGTGGATTGGATTGTGGCCACACTCTGAGAAAAAACCCATCAAATGAGTGACAGCCATCACCCTCCAGGCCATTGCTCGAGTGGAACCCAACCGAATGGGAAGCGGCGAGTCAGTTTGTCGTCGTCAGTGCGAGGGTGACAACATGGAGGAGGTCGTGCGAAGAGGAGATGGAAGTATGTGGGTAGATGTGGAGCCAGGTGATGAAAAGGTTGGTGGAGAACCGAACGCAGTGCAGACGTACGGCTGAAGCCCTATGTTCCTCTAGGAACTAAAGGAGACAATAATAATAAACAGTGGTTCTGTTGTAACAACAGAAGACAAGGGCCAGGCAACAGATCGTTTATTAAGGAAAATCAACACATATTTATAGATTTTAATGGACATTATTGTAGATTATTGTTAGTAGAAAATACAGTCTTTTGATGGGTTGTTTCTCACAGAAAGTTAACCTTGCATCTCTTTGTGGCTGTGTCAGATCATCCATATGCCAACTGTATCCGCCTACGCAAAGCCTTTGTTCTCATTTTCTCACCAGCAATATTGGGGACATAAACATTGACGTCAATTACTGTCTACCAACTTTGGCTAGCAGCCAGCTCTCACCACAGTGTGTTCAAGTTAATTTTGTATTTCACGTCAATTGATTATATTGAACCGAAATATTCGGTCTGCATTTACATATCGACTGCTAGTAAGGACGCTTGAACAACGTTTGAGGACCAGTATGATGTTATTTGGTGGATGGTGACTAGCGGTGTAATGAAGGATGCACATTTCGGACATATAAAGCCTTCTGCACAAGAGATAGCTTTCGCAGCCCAAGTGGCTTAGTAGGTAACGCTTCAACACGGTTATAAGGACCGATGCAAGGTGTGAGTCTCAGTGCAGACAGCATAATTCTTTGGGGATTGCAGGTGCATACAGATGACGGGTCACAAATAGGATGACACGTGCATTTTAGACTTCATTTTTAGTCACCGTTCACCAGGTGACTGACTGTCCAGCGGTATTTACTTTGAACTGATAATAGATGGTTGCAGCCAACGGGATGGGAAATCATTACCATAAAGGCATTTTGTATTTCCCAATGAATGAAAAACAAAACGATATTGTTGTTTTTACTGACCTTTCGTTATTTAATGCTGCTGCTATTAGCATTATCAAAGTTTTATTAAACCATAATTTACAAAATCTCAGATTATATATAACAAATTAATCAACGTTCCTTAGCATGGGGTCACTTTTGCTTTGTCAAGTTGACCTATTCGTGAAGACAACAAAACCCTGTGTAGATTGTTGGATTGTAAAGCAGCTTGTGTTTACATAATGAAATTGTTGATTTTTTCATTTCATGGGAGAGAGGGTGTTTTAACCAGTTCAAATTCTATTTCAGTCCATCATTTCTATCCAAACAATTTGGATTCCATTTGATGATATGAAGTGCTTCTGATGATGTGAGTTGTTCTTTGTGATTTCTGAAATGCTTTTTCTGGATGATGATTTCAATATTGTCAAAATCAATTTTGTGACCTGATTCTATAGCGTGTAGACTGATGATGGCTGATGATTTTTCAAGCTTTTCTAGTTCACTAACTCGATTTCTCGGTGGTTGGTCGAACAGATGCTCTATGGTGTTCATTTGTTCTGATTTTGATCTCTCTCTGACGATGTTTGTCCAATGTATATCGCATCACATTCCAAGCATTTTATTTTATAGACACAATTAGATAGAGAATCTTTAGGGATTTGGTCTTTTATATGGACAAGGTTGTTTCGTGGTGTGTCTGATGTTTTGAAGAAAACTCTAATGTCGAGCTGATTGAGTACTCTTCTGATTTCGTCTTACGTCTCTGCTCTATGTGGAATGACGACTGTTGAGGTCCATATTTTCGGGATGCGTTTTCGACCATACTTAACGTCAGTGTTGATTTCGTTGATGAAGTTCGTTGGGTAGTTGTTTTGCTTGAGAGTTTCAGTAATGTTTGATATTTTTTCTTCTTTTTCTCCCTCATTCATTAACATCAAAGAGTTTGCTCGTCTAAGAAGACTTGAGACAACTGATACTTTTGTGCTGATGGGGTATGATGATCCGAAGTGCAAATATTTTTTGGAGTGGGTTTTCTTCCTAAATACATATGTATTAAAATATCCGTTTTCCCCCTCTTAAGCAGGCAGTCTAGAAATGGTAGTTCATCACCGTCTGATTTTGCTTCCGAAGTAAACTGGATTCTTGGAGATCATTATTATTATGGTTCCCTTGGGTTCCTAGTGGAACATAGGGCTTCAACTACACGTCTCCACTTGCTTCTGTCTTCTACTGTACTTTTCACCTGCGTCCATGTTAATCCATACTGTTTCAAATCTTCTTCACACGATCTCCTCCATGTCACCCTTGCATTGACGTCCCACTCGCCGCCTCCCTTTCGGGTTCCACTTGAGCAATGGCCTGACGCGCGATGTCACCCAGTGGCCTCCTCAGCGAGTGTCCAATCCATCTCCACTTTCTCCTGCATATTTGTTGAGCGATTGGTTCTTGTTTTGTTTGTTTCCATAGTTTCTTGTTGATGATTCTTTCCGGCGGCCATCTGATCTTGAGTATAGAACGAAGACAGCTGTTGATAAAGGTCTGCAACAGGCTGTTGGAAATATTCTTTGTGACCCACCAAGTTTCTGATCCGTATAGAAGAACTGACTGACTTGACGTTTGTATTGAAAATCCGAATCATTTTGTTGTTGATGGTGAGTGACGAAGATTTCCAGATTGATTTCAGGTTGATGAATGTGTTTTTGTTGCCTTTCCGATTCTCGATTTGACATCCTCGTCCGTTCCTCCTGTAGTTGAGACAATGCTACCCAGATAAGTGAATGAAGTAATCTCTTTCAAGTCCCTCCCATTGACTGTGATTGGCGTTGGATGTTGCTGCTAATTCTCGGAGATAGACTGTTTATTTTCTCCATTAATGAACTGTGTAGATCTCGTTTTAGCACTACAAAAGTATCGTCAACATATCTTAACCACTTTTTAGGAGTGAGTATGCTTGAAAACTTGGGAACTCCTTCACCGAGTTTTCGTGCTGACTGTCAATCTTCAGCAAGGAGTAGCTGAAAACTTGAGAGAAATGACTTCTCCTAGGAGCTGTCAACCCCTTAACTACTGGGATTCACTATCGACTCATGTTAGGAATGTAATGGACACAGCTATTTGAAATTAGAGTGCAGACAATGTCATACATCTAGCCCATGGGTATTGATGAGCACTGAATTCCAAAAGTCAAGCTCGCAATGTGGTCAACAAGCTAGACATCCACTTTAAATGGAATTCGTATGTCGGATTTCCCACTTCACGAAGAGTATAATCTCATCAATAATGATCCTTTCGCTAATTCTCAAGTACAAATATTGATTGACCTTATATAGTTGGGTGAATTTTAATAATACTACTTAAAAAGGTTTTTTTATTCCTTCACGTTCCCAGTAGGACATAGGGCTTCAAGCTAGAGGCATGAAGTTTCTGTAGCAGTGGTGTTTATTTTCACACAGTGTGGTTGCTAGCCTCATGCCCATCCTTCCTTCTTTATCAATCTTATTACTAACTACTGCTGTGGCGCCAACGCACAAAGTGCTTAGAAAAGAATATTCTTTTCAATAATTTCCTCTTCTGGCTCTAAAAATATATCTGTATGTATATATACATACAAAATATTCTAGAGTAATCTGCATTAACAATATTAGTGTGTTTTTTAAATAATATCGATTTGTTAAGTAAGATCAGTAGAATTAAAGTTCAAGAAAGATGCATAAATCATAATAAGCATACAAATCTAATAGCAAATAGAATATCAGATAAAATTAAGGCAATTTCCCCAACACCATTATGGATAAGATTTTATTTTCATAAATCACACAGTGTTACACAGTAATATTAACTGATGACGTTTCGAGCGCAAACTATTGCCACTCATAATCATATCAAGTTACTCACACAACTTTCTTGCTTCATTTATATACATGTGTGGAATTGATGATTGGATATTTGAATAAAAATCAATATGAGATAATGTACATTCAGAAATAATAATATGAGTGTTATTGATCAAATACAATCAAGTGGGAGATAAAACGAGTGTTTTTATAGTCATAATAAGTAACTTGTTAGAATATTGTGATGTACGTGAATTGAAATAGAATTTTCAGATTATTTATTATCCTCTTCTGATTTGACTGGTGGCAATAATATCTTCCATACATATCTCTGGTATTTGCATTGAGTCATTTCTGTTGCATGTGTTGGGTGTAGACTCGATGAACCAGACAGGATTCAGTAATCAATCTCTCTCTTTCTCCACCTACCTAGATTACTTTTTAGAATCTTAAACCTCTCCCACCCTATTGTGTGGTTGTGTGTTAATGCATGAAGTGCAATAGCTGAGCCTTTTTTTAAATTAGTTATCTTTTCAGGGTCAATCAGTTTTCCCTTAGCTAAATTCCTATGTTCTCATACTCTGACTATCCCTGATCTACTAGTTTGACCTATGTAGTTGACCTAACTCACAGTCATTGCAGGGTATTTTGTAAGAATGGTTGACCCCGAGAAGATAAGTAATTTAGAAAAAATCTCAGCAATTGCACTACATGCAATAACACACAACCACACAATAGGGTGGGAGAGGTTTAAGATTCTAAGAAGTAATCTATGTAGGTGGAGAGTGAGAGAGATTGATTACTGAATCTTGCCTTGTTCATCGAGTCTACACCCAACACATGCAACAGAAATGACTCAATGCAAATACCAGAAATATGGAAGATATTATTACCACCAGTCAATTAAATCAGAGGAGGATAATAAATAATCTCAAAATTCTATTTCAATTCAAGCAAATCACAACATTCTAACAAGTTATTTATTTTTACTATCAAAAACACTCGTTTTATTTCCCATCTGATTGTAATTGATCAACAACACTCATATTGATTTTTATTCAAATATCTAGTCAATTCCATACATATATATAAATGAAGGAAAAAGTTGTGTGAGTAACTTGATATGATTATGAGCAATAATTTGTGCTCGAAACGTCATCAGTTAATGTTACTATGTAACACTGTGTGATTTATGAAAATAAAATCTTATCCATAATGGAGTTATACTCTACCATCAGAGTGCCCAAGTTTTATAATTATATCAATTTCCACAACAAATTGAGGATCATCAAAACCACGATTGACGGTCAAGGTAAGGACAGTGTCTGAACCAACCAACTTCTTCTTTTGGATACATAAGTTAGGTTTCTTAATGTAGCCAGCCTCAGCAATATGTACTAGATGAACTCTTAAAGTGAAGTTAAGATTTACTGGTATGCGGCAGATGAATTTGAAAGCAGCCTAGTTCACATCAATCTTGTGTTCTTTATCCACAAAATGAGATAGAATAGCGTGCTATGAATGGATTTCGGTTGTCGCTAATGTGGTTGCAACCTCTCATTGGCAGTTAAAGAAATCTACCTCAAACTAGTTCATCCATATTAATATTGTGGAAATTCTAGCATATATTTTATTATTTTTTATGTGTTAATTTGCAGGGATATGATAGATCCTAAATGAGGAAGGACATGACTCCCTTCAAGGTTGCGGAAACGCCTTGTTGACTTGTGAGTACCTACTAGCACGAAACCTAAGTCAGGCAAGGCTTCCTGTGGCCGACTGCCTCCAACCATGTAACATCAACAGATTCTAAATCAGATTAAGGAATGAAATCAGTTGGCAAACCAGTGAAAACTAGAAAGTACTGGAAAGCCATTTCGTCCTTGTTCAGAACTCCCTAGCAGTTTGCATGCATGACCCACCCGCCAGGGATTGAGGTAAGGAATTTCAGCTTCCGAGAGGCGTCCATCGATCATTTATCCACCTAATTGGGTTCATATAGTCTACAAGTTCAAACTTCGGCGGATTTTCGACAGACAGCGTCGGCCGGTGTCATCGGTGAGTAGTTCACCTCTAATCCAAGTTGGTCATGACATCTCGTTAGCATTAGTTTTCGAGTATTCGATTAGTTCAACCTAGGTCATGAAGTGACATCAGTTAGAAAACCGCGAAAAGCCAGGGACAGTTAATTCATCTTAGCCATTTTTCATATTTAATTTCAAGAGGTAACTGCAGACTAAAATTTATTGAAAAGACCCCTTCTCTCATGCATACCCAAAAAAAGAGGAACTTCTCCTTCTGATCAGAAATATTTTTTTGTATCAACTTACATTACGAAATCGTGGTTTCATTTTCATTTGCTTACTAGTACTGCTGTTACTATTTGTATCATAAATAAAATTAAACCAAATTTGATCAGGATGACTTGGTTGATCGCTTGACGTCTTTGCTTCTGTACTAGCATTGTTATTCGGACTATATAGAGTAACGTAACAGAGGAATAAAAGAGAATAAAGACTGAATTTTAGGAATTATGAATGATTTTAACCTGAATGTAGTTATTACTCTCAACCAAATTAATTAAAGGTGATAAATAGTGTCTCACAGTAGAATTCAAAATATGCCTTTCCTCCTATTTAACATCTGAATGAATGGACTGTTTGTGTTATAGGTAAGTACCCTTGTCTAGCCACTTCTGTGTGCACCTATCAGTTAACCTGCTCACCTGTGGAGCAACATTCATCGGCTATAAGCAGAGAATGATTTCCACGCAGATACCAGTATGGACTTACAAGGGAAAATTCAAGGATAATCGTCTCGTGCCACTCAACTAACTCTGACAATCTTCAAGTATTGGTTTTGTAGGGATTTTTTGTTTGTTTGATTGGTTGGAGGATTTCGTCATGAGCTGACATCAGTTAGAGAACCATTGGAAAATGTGTAGGGAGTACTGGACAGCCGTTTCGTCGTTCTAGTTTGGGACTCTTCAACAGTACGCACTCACACTGTGGGGTTCGAACCTAGGACCTTGTTGTTACAAAGCTAGCAAGCTTATAGACTATTAATTCAAACATTATCAGGGCGAACAGCCTTCTTCAAATCTTGAGCACAACCATTAGGTTGCATACTATCCAATCGCCATTGCCGGATCTGGAAACAAAAGTTACGAGAACACCATCAGAGCATGTGACAGGTTATGCTTAATGGTCTACGAGCTCGCCAGCCTTGTAACCAAAAGGTCCTGGGCTCGAACCCCGCAATGTTGGTGCGCACTGATGAAGAGTCTCAAACTAAGATGAAACAGCTGCCTGTCCAGTACTCCCCGCAGGTTTTCCAATGTTTCTCTCCAACTAACCCTTACAATGATGTTAATATCATTTATCGAATTCATTCACGCAAACCTGCAGTTTTTCATTCTTTCCAAACTTCTAAAGACAGAAGAGGTCACTGACTACTCGTGAATTTAAACCAAACCTTTCTGGACATAAAAAGAATGCACAAACCTTATTTCTATCTTGGCCTTAGAATAGAAAGGGGGCACAGAACCATATATAAATTTATAAAAATAATAATAATGATTTGCTTTAATCCAAGACGGTATTTACGACACATTGTGGAATTCTTAGCGTTTGGTACAATATTGCATCTATTTTACTCGACAGCAACAAAGTAACCAAGATTGATAATACCAACTTTTTTGGTATTTGCAGTGATGATAAACTCAAAAATGTACAAAAGTGTAAAATAATAATAATTTGCTTTATTTCAAAACAGTATTTGTGATACAGAATGGAATTCTCAGCATTTCACTACAGTATTGCATCCAGTCAGTACATTATCAATAAATAAAATTCGACATAGGTTAAGGGTAATCTCAGTTAGTTTTGACAACAACATATCGGCATGTCGGTAGCAAAGCCAAAGTTGAACAGAGTGTTTGAAGGTGTTAGAAAAGTAGGTGCTAGCATATTTACTGGCGTAAGCGGTAACAAAAAGGTCGAGATATACAGAGTGTGAGAGAACGAGGAAGAATTTTTTAATAGAGTTTGTAAGGAAGAAAGAAACAAAGCAGCACATAACGGAAAAAAATAAAAAAATGAGGGAGAGAGAGAAAAGGAAAAGACAGAAAGAAAATGTTGTACCTATAAATTATATGAGTTGGAAAGACGAGATACAGTTGTTCTACTGACTATTTAATAAGTTATAGGTATCACGCCTAGTGCTTTCTTTATCACACAGAACACGAGCTAAGTAGGGTATCTTTTGATGTGGTTGTGTTCTCTGAGATGGATAGTTAATTTGCGAAGCTTTCATCACCCTAGTAGGTGACATCTTCAGCGCGTACTTCAATTTGAAGTAGGGTATGGTTGAGTTTTTGTACTTGCTAGTGCGAGCATATAGTTTTCTAAATAGGCTTCTGGTTCTGCCTGATGAGATACAAGGAGAGAGTTGTGAATGAAGAGGGTGGTGTGAGTTAGATAAAATGGATTTAGCCCATTTTTCACATGAGTCCATGTGCCTGCCAACCAGAGTATTAACAAGCTGGTTAAGTGGCACGTTGCTTACCCTGCTGACAACCTTTAACATCCTGCGTAATAAGGTATAGTCTTTCTTCAGTAGCCCTGGAAAAACTAAGGGGGAACAATAGAGAATAATAAGCAGAATGCGAGAATTAACGAATCTTAGGAGTAAGGGTTAGGTTAATCCAGAATGTCTTAACTTCTTGATGTAGACGGTAAGACGGAATATTTTCTTAGAAATCATCAAGATATGAGACGACCAGGAGAGATCAGCAGATAAAATGACGCCTTGGTATTTAATTTCCGACATGGTTTCTACTTCAGTGCCCTCTATGCTGCACACCTCGTGAGTGCTAACCAGTTTGTTTAAGTCAGATTAAGGCCTAAAGGTGAAATTAACTGTTTGGCATTTGGAGGGGTTTAAGGTTAATAGCTAAAATTATAAGTTCATTGAAATAGTGTTACAATAGATTACAAATAGGAGAGGATAGAAGCGCTAATTATTTTGTTTAATAACACTGAAAGTCACAGGTATCAGTCTTAACATTGTCTCTATCACATTGAACTCCGGTGGACCAAATAGGGCATCATTCAGTTTTTGTACTTAATTGTACGAACATGTAGTCTCACATAATGACTTCTAATCCTACCAGAGAAAATGCAAGGCGAAGAGTCGTGAATATATATTGTGCGTAGAGTCAGACAATATGGTTCCATATCAGACAATTTTATGTTAATTATCACACAGTGATGACAATGTTTCGAGCATAAATTATTGCCGTTCACAATCATTGAACAAAGCTGGGAATGGCAGTCACCTCTCTAACTCAACTTCACCGACTTTGAAAAGCCCTTCGATAGCTCAGCGTCGATTCAGAGGTGATTTGGAAACTACTTCGCTACTACGGGGTGCCGCCAAAGATTATACATCTCATCCGACAGTTGTACGATAACGCTGTATGCCAAGTAATCCACAACGGGAAACCTACAGAATCCTTCGAAGAAAAGACAGGAGTAAGACAAACTGGCTGCCTACTGCGTTCAATGATATTCCTGATTGCGGTAGACTGGATAATGCGACAGACAGCGGGCAGCTAGGAAGCAGGCATAAAATTGACCCAAACAAAATAAATTGGAGGATCTGGACTTTGCCGATGATATATGTCTGATTTCCCACAAACTGGATGAAGATATGCAAATGAAAAGCAGCAAGTTGGCAGAAAGAGCATCAAAGGTAGCAACGACTAAAGGTGAACATGGAGAAAGCAGAGTTGATGAAGATTCCTGGCCAACAGCAACAGCAACAACAACAACAGACAACAATCAGCATAAATGGAAGGAACCTGAAAGAAACAACCTCCTTTACTTACCTGGGAAGTATCGTCTCAACTACATGCGAACAGAACTGACGAGGATATCAAAGCAAGAATCGGAAAAGCAAGACAAGCTTTCACTACTCTCAAATCTGTGTGGAGGTCAACAGCACTCAGCATCAAAAATGAGATCCGGATTTTCAACTCCAATGTGAAGTCAGTAATACTTACTATACGGATCAGAGACTTGGCACGTCATAAAGAACATCTCAAACAAACTACAGACCTTCATTAACGGTTGTCTTCGCTCACTACTCAAGATCAGATGGCCAGAAAAGATCAGCAACAGGGATCTCAGGGAGCGAACCAACCAGGAACCGATTGTGCAACAAATATGCAGGAAGAAATCGAGGTGGATTGGATTGTGGCCAAACTCTGAGAAAACCATCAAGTGACTTCACTAGACAAGCCATTGGTCGAGTGGAACCCGGCCGAACGGGAAGCGGCGAGCTGGTCGTCCAAGGGTGACTTGGAGGAGGTCATGTGAAGAGGAGATGAAAACGTGTGGGCAGACTTGGAGCCAGATGAAGACTCTAGAAGAGAACCGAACGCAATGGAGACGCGCGGCTGAGACCCTAAGTTCTTCTAGGAATTAAAGGAAACAATAATAATAATATAATCATATGCATTTTAGTCACATGTTGTGACGATTTGTCTTTCGGATATATTTCCTCTCTCATTCTGTCTCTCCAACTTCCCCTTGTTCTTTGTTGCCACTTTCCATATCTCCGGTATAGGCAGTGATTGCGTCATTCTGATTGCACGTGTGTGGCGTTAAATCGATAAACAAAGTTTCACTCAGTGGTTAACCTCTCTCCCACTCCACCGAACTATATTACTTTTTAATACTGTCGCCCTGTGCCACTCACCTTTTTGTGTGATTATATGCAAGTGAACTTAGCGGGGTCAATCGTTCTAGGTCTAGCTAAATTTCTATGTTCCAATAATCTAGTTGACCCTGATCTACTAGTTTGATAGCCTATGTAATTGACTCCACAGTCATCGTCACATGATACTTGGTAAATTGTATTATTTTTTTTAATTTGATCTATTGGGTCCTTAGGCCTACAAAGTTTATCTCTGAGAGAGTTGGTTGGTTGGTTTAAATGCCGCCCTAATTCCAGCCTCATTGAGAATCCTACGTATGGCCTCTGGCGTCCCTTCGTGGTGAGAGCTGTCTGCTAGTCGAACTGGTAGACAGCAATTTACGTCAGTGTCTACCTAGAAAATCTTGGTCATGAGAAAGAACAGGAACAAAGACTAATTCAACAACCAATCACAACAGACTTCGCGTGGGCGGATACGATTCGCAGATATATGGTCTGACCTTCAAAGAAATGGCCACAGAGAGATGACAAAATAACTTTCAGCCAGAAAACAACCAATCAGAAGACGCTATTTCTCTGCCAATAATAACGAATAATAGTGTACATAAAAATATATAAATATCTGTTTATTTTCTCAATAAACGATCTGTTGCCCGACCCTTGCCTTCTGTCGTTACAGCTTCTTTATATTGGGACAGCACTACAGAGGCTTTGATCTCGATGTTATTTTCGTCACTTGTATTGCTAGTCTTGGTTTTTCTATGGTTCTTCGTATATTTTTGAATAAGTTCTGGTGGGTAGTTGGTTATTCCCTAGTAATACTTCCTTTATTTGTTTGATTTCATTATTTAAATATTCTAGCTTATGAGTTAGGCTCTTGGCCAGCTGGTGTCTAACCCGCCATCTTGTTTTCGTTTTATTCTACAGTCTAGCATGACAAATTCACTCTGTTAGTTTTCTAACTCAGAAGTGAATTGGATTCCATCTACTACTGAGTTTATATATGTGTGTGAAAAACTAAGGGATGTGTTCAGATTTGAACACGGTGAATATATCATCCACATATTTCCACCATAACCTAGATGGAGCAGGACTAAACTTTTTAAGAGCTTTATGTTCCCAACTATCCATAAACAAGGAACACCCGTGAAATCGGAATGACGCAACGCCTGCCTATACCGGAGATATGGAAAGTGGCAACAAACAACAAGGGAAAGTTGGAGAGATAAGCAGTCGTGTGAGTAAAATTGATATGATTATGAGTGACAATAATTTATGCTCGAAACCTTGTCATCCAGTTATTAATGCTGCATCATCACCGCTGGAATTACATTCTACCAACACGGTGCCCAATTTCTACACTTATATTACTCACGCATTTCTCACATGAGTTCAGGTGTCTATCGACTTCAGTATTAATGAGCTCACTCACTGGCACACCACTTACCCTACTGACAACCTTTAATACCCTATTCAAAATGACATAGCCCTTTTTCAGTAGCCCAGGAAAAACTAATGGGGAGCATTAAAGTACAATAGGTAAGATGCAAGAGTTAACAAGTCGTAAAAGTCGAGGTTGAGTGATACCTCAGTGATTGTCTTAACTTCTTAATGTAGAAGGCCGGACGAAACATTTTTTCTTCGAAATTGACAAGATATGAGATGACCAAACAAAGGTTGGAGCATAGAACCATATCAAGGTACTTTATGCTTGACTTATTTTCAACATCAGTGCCCTCTAAGCTGCAAGTATCATGTGAGCTAATGTGTTCGTTAAGATCACCTTTATTCCTGATGATGAGTCCCAGGATAAGACGAAACTGATTTCTAGTACTCCCTAGTTTTTTTACAGTTGTCTAACCGATACCAATCCGTGGCCAAACTGGAAATAAATCTGATCCCCACAAACTAACTCTTGAGAAAATACTTTTCACACAAACAGTGAATGGATCTACACAATTCAGAACAGTTTCGAACCATATCATGAATAGTCTCCAGACACTGGTTCTTAGCATCCCAATGACCCCAGCCGAACAGTCTACACCTCCCTAGATGGCTAGCTCAAACAAATTGGTAAAGACTTCGTCAACTGACTCAAAGTTTTCATTTGTTCTTGCCTAACCCTTTTTCAACTTAATCCTATGCCAGTTAACACTGTTCAACGAGGAAGGAGATGGTTGCTTGGCAGGCGTAACGCATATCCTAGCCATCTGAACCGTTGTAGTTTCAAAACCCGATCAACTGACTGACCCAGCTTACCTAGAACTCCACGTCTAGCCTCCTTATAACTCACCACTTAACACGAGAAATAGAACTCTACGAAAGACTGCGTTAACACTGTACAATCATATTTATATTCACTTAACACTTAGAACAGTTTATTTATTGAGTAATGTTGACATAAAGCATCGTTTCAGCTACAGGCGGATTGAACTAATAAGGATATTAAGGCAAGGATCGGGAAAGCAAGTCAAGCTTTCATTACTGTCAAGTCTGTGTGGAGATCAACACTCAGCATGAAAAATAAGATCCACATTTTCAACTCCAATGTGAAGTCAGTGCTACTCACTATATGGACCAGAGACTTGGCGCTGCACCGTGTCACGAAAGGCACTTCGGACAGACTACAAACCCTCATTAACAGCTGTCTTCACTCAATACTATTCAGTATTAGATGGTCGGTTGTAAAACATCAGTAACAGGGAGGGGTCTCTGGCAATGAACGAATCAACCCAACCCAGCAGGAACCGATTGTGCAACAAATATGCAGCAAGAAATCGAGGTGGATTGGATTGTGGCCATACTCTGAGAAAACAAACCATCAAGTGAGTGACATCACATATCAGGCGACTGATCGAGTGGAACCCGAATGGGAAGTGGCAAGTTAGTCGTCAGTGCGAAGGTGACAACGTGGGAGAGGCTGTGCTAAGGGGATACGAAAGCATATAGGCAGATGTGGAGTCAGGTGAGAATGTTGGTAGAGAGCGGAACGCAATAGAAACGTGTGGCTGAAGCCCTATGTTCCTCTAGGAATTAAAAGAAACAATAATAATTGACATAAAATGTAACATAAAGGTAAAAAGAAAAGGCTTTCGTCTAACTTGAATTTCCAACTTGCAGATATTGGCCTCCAGTTTGGATCAGTTTCTTCAGAGTTTCCTGAGGCATACATCTGTTCCATTAACCATAGAACACAACACAGCTGCATATATATGAGTTCACTAAAAGAAAATAATTACAAAAAAATAAAACTGATAAAATCCATGAAAACGACGGATAAATGATTTGTGTAGATTATAAGAGAATTAGGCTTTTAACAGCTTTTACTGAAAATGATATCTAGATTCATATGTCAACGTTTTCTATTGACAAAGGCTTAATAGAAATATGTACCATCTCCTATGATTTTCCTGATTTCGGCAAACTGGCTAATACGGCAGACAGTGGGCAGCTAGGAAACAGGCATAAAATTGACCCACTCAAAGAACTCGGAAGATCTGGACTTCGCCGATGATATATGTGTCTGATTTCCCACAAACTGGAAGAGATACAAGTGAAAAGCAACAAGTTGGTGAGCGTGGGGATCGGGAAAGCAAGGTAACCTTTCATTACTCTCAAGCCTGTGTGTAGATCAACACTCAGCACTCAGCATGGAAAATAAGATCTGGATTTTCAACTGCAATGTGAAGTCAGTGCTAGTATATGGGTGAGAGACCCGGCGCAGCGTCACGAAAGGCACTTAGAACGAACTACAGACCCACATCGACAGCTGTCTTCGCTCAATACTATTCATTATGGGGTGACCAGAAAATATCAACAACAGAGATCTCTGGCAATGAACGAATCAACCCAACCCAACAGGAACCAACTGTGCAACAAATATGCAGCAAGAAATACAGGTGGACTGGAGTGTGGCCATACTCTGAGAAAACAAACCATCAAGTGAGTGACATCACACACCAGGTTATTGCTCGAGTGGAACCCGACGGAATGGTAAGCGGCGAGTGAGTTGTTCGTCAGTGCTAAGGTGACATGATGGAGGAGAAGGTGATGTGAAGAGGAGATGAAAGTATGTTGGCAGATGTGGAGCCAGGTGAAAACGTTGGTGGAAGACCGAACGCAATGTAGACGTTCAACTGAAGCCCTATTTTCCCCTGGGAATTAAAGGAAACAATAAAAATACATTAGAAGAACTGCCTACTAAAAGATCCTAGGAAATCTGAACTTCGATGATGATTTACGTGTCAGTATAGCACAAACTCGAAGATCTACAGATGAGAACCAACAAGTCGATGGATATTGCAACCATGACAGGGTTTAAGGTGAATATTAGAGAGGACACAAGTGATAAAACCACCTAACTAGCGAAAGTAAGAACCGACGTGAGAAGTCTAAAAGAACTCACTATGTTCACTCAGACAGACAGCATCGTCTCAACTATATAGACGGAATGGTAAGGGTATCAAAGACAACCGGGATCGGAAAGCTAGAAAGGCGTTCACTTCTTCGAAGTTGGTGGAGATCACTAGGACTCAATACAGGGAATAACATCGACATTTTCAATACGAATGTCAAGTCAGCGCATCCTTATGGTTTAGAGACTCTGCACGTGAGGCACAGAAAAGCATTTCAAACAGGCTACTACAGACTTTCATCAACAGTTGCCCTCTTCAAGCAATACTGAAGATTAGATGGTCAACTGGCTATTCTCCTCATAATTCTTCTATATTTTTTAAAAGTTCTGATTGTTATTCTGACCAGTATTTTGCTCTGCTGTTTCATTTCCTTACATTTTGACTGGAACTACTTAGTGAGAGCTTCATGCTTGACCCTTGCAGTTCTACTACTGGCAATACTGTTCTTTAACGGAGTGGAATTGATAGCTTCATCTAGCCGAACCTTTCCTGTTTTGTGGGCTTAGAAGTGCGTTCGTCCGCCGAAAATCGAACCTAGTCCATACAAGTGGTCGGCAAGCGCTTTATCACTGAGACACCAACGTACTTCCTGATCAATTAATGGAACACAGAGTTGGATTAGATTTCTTTCAGTACCGCCAAGATTTCCAGTAATATAATTTTTAGATCTTCTTTAAAGCCAGCACCAATTATCTGTTGAAGAGATGCTTAGGTTGAATGTTTATGAAAAATCTATATATATATATATATATAATTTATTCTTATTATTTTTCCTTCGGGTTCCGAGTGGAAAATAGGGCTTCAACAGCACATCTCTACTTTGTTGTATTCTCTGAGGTCCTCTTTAGCTCGGCCGATGATTGCCATTAATCTCTCATTTCTTACTCACGCGATCTCATCGATGTCACCCTTGAAGTGACATTTTCCATTTGGGTTAAACTCGAGCGATGGCCTGGCTCGTGATGTCACCGGATGGTCTCCTTATCGTGTGCCCAGTCCATCTTCATTTTCTCCTAAATATTTGCTGATCTATAGGTTCTTAATTGGTTTTTTCCCAGAATTTCTTGTTCCGAATTCGTTCTGACCAGCCATCTGAATTTCAATATGGTGGTAAGACGGCTGTCAACAAAGGTCTGCAAATTGTATGAAATGCTTTTCGTAAGGTGCGCGACAAGTTTCTGACGCATACAGACGAATCGACGCACTGACTTCACATTTGTGTTGAAAATGCAAATCTTGTTCCTTACGCTGACTGAGTGCAGAAGATTTCCAAACTGGTTTCGGGGTGATGAAGGCGCATCTTACCTTTCCGATTCTAGTTGACTGGCTCTGACGTCTTCATCCATTCCAACAGGAGTTTAAACGATGCTTCCTAGATAAGTGAGAGAAGTAAACTCTGTTAAATCTCTCCCGTTGATGGTGATTTGTGCTGGTTGTTGTTACCGTTGATTGGTTATCTTCATCACCTCCGTCTTCCCTATGTTTGCCTGGAGTCCTGTCTTCGCTGCCTGCCCCCTTCTTCAGCGAATTTGTTGATTTTCGCCTGTAAGTCTTCGAGTTTGTGTGACATTCAACATAAATCACCCACGCACGAAATCCAGATCCTGTAGTCGTCCCATCGGTTCAGCATATTCCTATTTTCTGGCTGCCTACAGTCTGATGCACAATCCAGTCCACCACAATCAGGAAACTTGTCGATGATAATAGGCGGGCAGCCTTGTCTTACTCCTGTACTGACTTCAAAGGCTTCTTTGAGTAAATATATATTTGCCCACTACGACTGTTTTGAATTTCATTCCTCTACCTTTGTGTTACATAGACTGTGGCAACTTGAATGCCTTAGTTAAGTGACATCGCAGACTAGCTCCTTGAGTGGGACCTGAATGGGAAACGACGACGACGAGATGGGCGTCACTTCATTAGTGAAATGGATGAGATAATATCCAAAATGAAATCAAAGCCAATAGGCACTCGTGAAGAAGACAGTTAGAAACGACTGCAGAAAACCAGGTGAAATGGAAATGTCCCACTGAAGCTCTTTACTCCACTCAAAATCCAAGGCAATAATGATAAAATATTTAAAGCAAAGCAACATCAAGCAATGAATCTTACCAGAGAGAATCAAAATATAATTCCTTATCGTCATCGCCATCATTGCCATCGCTAGCATTCTCATCGGTCCCTTCATTCTTCACTCCATTTCCAGTTTGTCGATCATTTTTCACATTCAATAATTTATACGTATTGCTATTCGCTAAATCGTCTAATCGTTTTAATTCATTGATAAAATTTGGCCGACATATATTAAAATATTTAGGTGTAAATGGTCTTTCCGCTTCTGTTGTAAACCACTGCCTCAACTGTCTATGACGTCGCCGTTCTATTGTCAAAGTTGAATAATCGGTATTCTTTTCTATGCTTTCCGTTGACTGCCTAGAATTTCAGTGAATGAGAAATATCAAACAAAATTTCAATTAATTTTTGTGAAAAGGCTGTAATTTTTACTATTTTAAAAAAAAAAGTATATTTTCAATACAGGTCTTAAAGCATTGAAGTAGCTGTAGTGTGCTTTTCCTAAATAAAGTTGCCAGCCTCATACGCTCTTCCATGGATAAATTGTCGGTCAGTAAACTAGGCTACATTCGGGCCGGGAATCAAACCCCCGTCTCGGTCCCCGCTGGTGATCATTCTACCTGTGAACTACAACTGTGTGGAGTACAGTATACTCGCTCTTTTTATGGTCACGGTTTTAAGCTACTTACTAATATTAAGTAGTATAATTTACGTTTTCGCTTTACATTACTACCCTGGGAACATTTCAATATTATTTTCATGAATATTATGAGTTATTTCTCTTCATTATACCGTTACAGTCCCACGTACTGTAATACTTCAAGTGTCTGTTTCTCCACTTCTTCAAATCTAGCCCTTCTCGCATTTGACTTCACATGTATGTGTAAAACTTGGGCACTGTGATATTAAGTACCTCAAAAATGTTGAAAAAGTCATTGTGGGAAAGAAGCCTGTCTTCATTCAGCTAGACTTTAAAGGTGAAAAGATTGCAGCAATACTCAACAGAAGATTGACTACGTCACTGGTGAAAATCTATCCTACAGCTAAGCTGGTTCCTGTCTGTAGGACAACATGCTCTTTGGTGCGATCAAAGATCAACAGATACCCTTCTCATGTTAACTCCAAATGTGTATACAAATTAACATGTATCTATGGTAACAGTCACACTGGGAGGTCAGAAAGAAGGTCGTACATCCAATTTTCTGAACATATACCAAAAGGTCTACGTTTCAAGGGAACAAATGCCTTCAAGAGTGCTATTGCCAGGCATCTCATCAATACGGGTCATGAGGTGGAAATTGCAAAATCCTGCAAAATTACAAGTAGACAAAAACGCTCGCTTCTCCTAAATTTTGCTGAAGCAATCTGTATTAAATGCCTGAAACCCAATGCAGATATTCAGGAAGATGCAGTTATCAGTCTTTCCTTGTCCACCTGGTAACTAGATAACTTTACTCTCTCTCTCTTTCATGTGATTATGTAATACTTGGCTTTAACCTTGCCCCCCTTCTTTGATATAGTGTAATTTAGTTTTTCTCTTGTTTGTGTAATTTGAGTTGAAGTCACTGTATTGTTACTCAGTTTACCAGTTACTCTGCAACTTACTCACCTCTCGTCTTTATTATGTAACTCCTTTAAGCATTATAGACATACACTGATTTTTGTTTAAACTTGAACTCTCTGGGCAAGACCTACACAAAAAAGTGTGATTTTCTGAATACTATTCATGAAGTTTGGAACCTCCTATCAACTGACATCATGTAATATTCGCAAGTATGTTAGGCTGTAGGTAGCCGATGAGAAGCCAACGAAATAGACAATGGTAGTACCATATTACTTTACACAAACCACTGTTATTCTTGCTTTATTCACACTCCATATTAATATGTTTATCTAATATATATATCACACACACAGTAGAACAGTATTACATACTGGATGACAACGTTTCAAAAACACCATCTACTGCTCATAATCATATCATCAATTGTAGCTACACAACTTCGAAATTTGATTTTTATGGTTTTCATTCTTCCTTCCCATTTGTCCTACAGATAGTTTGAATTTTCCGGATGTCCAGGACAGGTGTCGAATCATTTGAGAATGCGTGCAATAAGAATGATTCGACACTTATCACGGACATCCAGAATCGTCCTGTTTTTTCGACTCGTTAGTAAGATGTACCTTCATCTCCAGTGAAGGATAGTGTTCCCAATGAGATTTCAAATCAATACCCATCACTTCAAATGCCAAAGGTTTGACCAATTATTATTGTTTCCTTTAATTCCTAGAGGAACATAGGGCTTCAGCTGCATGTCTACATTGCGTTTGGTTCTCTGCTAAAGCTTTCCCCTGGCTCCAAGTCTGCTTTCATCTCGTCTTCACATGACCTCCTCCAAGTCACACTTAGACGACCAACTCGCCGCTTTCCATTTGGGTTCCACTTGAGCAATGACCTGGTGCATGATGCCACTCACCTGATGGTTTGTTTTCTCAGAGTATGGCCAATCCACCTCCATTTCTTCCTGCAGATTTGTTGCACAATCGGTTCCTGATGGGTTGGGTTGGTTCGCTCATTGCCAGAGATCTCTGTTGCTGATGTTTTCTGGCCGGCCATCTGATCTTGAGTAATGAGCGAAGATACCTGTTGATGAAGGTCTGTAGTTTGTTTGAGATGCTCTTTATGACGCGCCAAGTGTCTGATCCCTATAGTAGCACTGACTTCACAGTGGAGTTGAATATCCGGATCTTATTTTTGATGCTGAGTGTTGATCTCCACACAGACATGAGAGTAATGAAAGCTCGCCTTGCTTTCCCAATCCTCGCTTTGATATCCTCGTCAGTTCCGCCTATAGTTGAAACGATGCTTCCCAGGTAGGTAGGTAAAAGAGGTTGTTTCTTTCAGGTTCCTTCAATTTATTCTGATTGTTGTCTGTTGTTGTTGCTGCTGATGCTATTGGCCAGGAATCTCCATTACCTGAAGTCCTATCTTCTCTAGATGCTTCTTATGCCAGCTTGTTGATTTTCACTTGCATATCTTCCAGTTTGTGGGAAATCAGACACATATCATCGGCAAAGTCCAAATCCTCCAAGTTTTTTGTGTGATTCCATTTTAGGCCTGTTTCCTCACTACCTGCTGTCTGTCGCATTATCCAGTCTACCGCAATCACGAATATCATTGTCTTTACTTCGAAGGATTCCGTGAGTTTCCCGTTGTGGATTACTTGGCATGCAGCATTGTCGTACAACTGTTGGATAAGATGTATAATTGTCGGTGGCACCCTGCAGTGCCGAAGTAGTTGCCAAATGACCTCTCAATCGACACTGTCGAAGGCCTTTTCAAAGTCGATGAATTTGAGATAGCCATTCCAAGCTCTGTTGACCACTTAGCCAGTGAGATTAGCTACAAAATCCATCTCATGCAACATGTATGACTGGAAATTATTTAATGCATGTTTGTGATTTCCCACCGGTACACCTGAATGAGACTGACAAGCTTTAGTTTGATAATATTGGCCTCTTGAACCACAAAGGCTCGATATTACCACAAATGACGTAGACTTCTTAATCCCAGCAATATTCAGGTATCTGTTCAAGCCGTGTACGTACTAACGAACTAGAGTTCATCACCACGACTAAATATCTCGATGGGAAACCTTTAGCAACATCAATAAATGATTAAGTGAACGTTTACTTACTGTGATAAATTGCCGAGTAGATCGCTTAAATTACATCCAGCAGCGATTAAATCACTCATTAATTTACGTATTTCTGGTTCTTCATCCAGTAGAATGTCTTCATCGATTTCATCAGTTGATTTCTCGTTAGTTTCATCTAGGGAAAACAAAATTCATTTAACTTCAACATCGACAACAAACATCTATCACCATGAACACGAGAGAAATGTAAAGGGAATCGCCTAATCAACGTTTCAACTAAAGTCAGTATAGGTGTGGATGTCACAATCAGTCAGGATTAGAAAAGGCAAGTCAGCCGCTCATTACTCTGAATTCAGAGTGGGAGTCTTCAACACTTACCACAGGGAATGACATCCGAATTCGCAGCACGAAAGTCAAGTGAACCACTGCTTCCAACTGGTTCAAAAACTTGAGTCATACGTCATCAAAGGTATTTCCACCAACAGGTTAGTGCAAATTTTCCTCAAAAGCAGCCATAGCTGGCTGGATACCGAAGATCAGGCGATCCGTCAGGAACGATAAGCAACAAGATACTCTTGTAACCAGACAAAGATGAACGAAAAGTACAATTATATGAGGAATAATCAGAATTTCACGGGGTTTAAGTAAATGAAGACACTGAGGAGACCGTCAGGTGACATCGCACGCTAACCAGGCCCTCAAGTAGGACCCTAGTGAGAAATGACCACCTGGGCGTCGCTTTGATGGTGACATGCAGGAGATTATGTGAGGAGGAGATGAGAGTACATGGCCAATCTTAGGGCCAGCTGAAGAAAACTACATAGGACAGGACAAAACAGAGACGCGTTGTTGAAGCCCGATGTTTCATTTTGAAACCAAGAGAATAATAAGAGATTGTACACAGTGATGATTTATGGCCATATTGTGATAAACCACTAGTCACTGTTTCTCGGAGTCTCGAGAAACTCAACCACATACTCTGCGGTTCCCTACTTGGCTAGTTCAGACCAGCAGTCAAAAACTCCATGGACTGATGACGTGTTTTCATCTAACAACCTCTTTTGCTTTTCCAATCAAATCATAAGTCAGCTAGAATTTCTCACCGAGGAAGGTGATAACTTGATATGCGTAACGCATGTCGCAGATATTTCATTCGATGCAGCTTCACAACCTCGTCAGTCGACTTTCCTCCCTCCCTAGATAACCTCATTCACTGACTGGTTTCAACATAGAACTTTGCACAGATGTGCAGCATTTCAAGTCGCTACACTTCACTTAGCATACAAAGCAAGAAAAGAAAGTAAAAATCGATTCAAAACAGAGATATATGAGGCAAAAGGAGTAGTTATATGGAAGAACAATAGTTTTATTGGATATTACAAGTTACAAGGAAGGGATGCATTTGAGATTTTGAGCCGTGTCACCAACTGTCTACAGCCTTCATCGATCTTTGCCATCTCTAGCACCCCAACCAGTCAGGAAGCTAGTCTACATATCCTTACTTGAATGGCTGGCTGGCTTAAACAAACTGTTGTGGGTTTATTTGACTGATGAAGGCATGTTTTCGTTTGACCGCCAACACCACTAGCTCTTTTCCAACCTGATTCATCCTATGCCAGTCAGCTAACATTGCCCATTGTCGAGGAAGGCGACGGCTAGGAACTCATGCGTAAAACATGTCCTAACCATCTCCATCGATGTAAATTCACAACCTCGTCGAGTGAATTCCCCTCCTTACCTAGTACTCGATCAGTGTCTAACCTCAATATTGCTCACCTTATTATACCACTTCACGCGGGAGATAGGAGGCAGACACCTATGATCAAAGACAGCTAGCTGGCGTTTTCATGTCCTCCATTTTTAATGGCGGCCATGTTTAACCCACAACCATAAAGGAGGACGGAGCGAACTGCTGCTGAGCAGTACACACGCCCTTTACCTCACCTCATTACTACTGACTCTATGACATTATCTAACACAAGTAATAAAACGGAAACACCAAAATTCAAAGACGCCTAGCCTCTTTATATCTTCTACTTTCAATGGCCTTGTCTCATAGATGCAAAGAAGGGTGGAGCAAACGACTGAGCAGTACACAATGAATCTATTGTAAATATAAGTTGATTTTCAAGCGTTAATCATGGGTGCGTGCTGCTGATGATGAGTCCCAAACTAGGACGAAACAATCCTCCAGTTAACCCTACTTTTCAGTGGTACTCCAACTGAAGTCAATTCATGATCGAACTTGAAATCAATCATATCCGTACAAACGAAAGCTTGGAAATTAATCTAATTCTCACCAGCGATTGATCAATAGGGTCAGACAAGTAGGGCGTGGGGACAGATACTCACTGACGACATCGGCTAGTTGTCACGGTATATACTGTGCACTGGAAAGAGTTAGAATTGATGGGCCGTTGAATTCCATCCTAGTGGCTGAATGACCACTGACCTCGCCTCGTAACCTGAAGGTGGATGAATTCAAGGGTGCGTACTGATGAAGAGTCCCTGAAAAGAATGAGACTCCAGTTCAGTACAACCTGAATTTCAGCGATTCTCGAGCTTAGGTTACTTCTTCATCAAACTTGAATTATAAATCACCGCAAATAACTCTGATATCAGTAAAACAGTTCACAAAATTCAAAACATGTTCAGCTGCCGTTTGAAATGCAAAAAAAATAAAAACCTGCTCACTAATGTTACGAGAATGTTAAAGAACAAAAATGAAAACAGCCACATACTATTTGAAGCATTTTGTTCTGTTGTAATTGCTATTGCTGTTGTTGCTGTTGTTGTTGTAGTTGTATTCGGTGTGTACATACGAATTGGAGGAGCAATTCGATTTTTTCTAGATTCAATTATACGATTATGTAATTCCCAAAAGTTATGTACCTAAAAAGAAGAGAAATAAAATAATCACTGACTGATCTCACTTTACAAGTAACATGAAAAAGGTTAAACCATAAAATATGCAGCTGAATCATCAAGGAAATCAAAAAATACAGTTCGTTACCACCCCATAGTTAAGTGGTATAGTGATATTGAGGTTAGACGAAGAATGTTAGGTAAGGGGGGAGGGTGTGTGGCTCAGTCAATGAGATTGCGAAGATTCATCGATTCTGATGGATAGGATACTTGCGATACATTTTGAAGCACCGCCTTCCTCGACAAGCATTGATTAGTTGACTTAGGATTATTTTGAAAGATGGTTTGAAGTGGTCAAAATAAGCATCATTCCATCAAGTCTTTGTTAGTTAGTTTCAGGCAGGTTTGACGTAAGGAGGTCTAGACTGCCTGGTTGGAATCTTTGGGTTGCTAAGATCCTGTTGCAGCTGGAGACTATTGGTGATATGGCTGTCTGTATTTCTCTCATGTACTTATGACCTTCAAAATCCTATTGGTTGTTGAATGTTTTAATTTGTCAATGTAATTAGTGTCTCTCAGGGTCATTTAAAGCATATATACAACCAAGCGTTGTCAATCATTTCCACTGTTGATACCAGACAGTAAAAGCTCTCCACGTCAGCAGTCAGTCTTCTCTTAGTGTCTTCTTGCGTTGCGTTTTAGGTGGTATCGTATAGTGTTGTCGTTGTTGTTGCTATTAGTGGTTAGAACAATAGGCTCGCCAATCGACCAGATAAGAAATTCGTTAGCGCAACTACCAAGTGTAATAACGGTCATATTTGTAGTCCTAGTACACTCATCAGCTACTCACTCTGGAGGTCTGGGTTCGGTTCCTGGCCGACACAATCCCTAACCTCTTGTAGCCGGTAGCAAACGCAGAGTAAACGAGGAAAGGTTCGGAAGAGAGACTAACTATCCAGTAAAAGAAACAACACCGTCGCTACAGAGACTTCATGACCTTGAAGGCAATGGAAGAAAAAGGTCAGTGAATAAACATTAAGAAAAAAAAGAACTGTACATACCTTCTGAATAATTTCTTGATTCAATAAACCGAAAAAACTTCGACCATTTTTTACACAATTCGTAATATTACTAAATACACAGTAATAACAAAGTATAAACAGAGAGATTAATTGATTAAGACGTTTGGAATTAATGGCACATTAGATAGTTCACAGTATACCACTTCAAAGCTGCACTCAAACAAGAAGATAGAAGGAGGATTTCATCATGAGCTGACATCAGTTAGAAAACCATTGGAAAACCAGCTTGGAGTAATGAACACCCAGTTGTTTCGTCCTAGTTTGGGACTCTTCATCAGCACGCACCCACCACTAGATTTCGAACCCAGGAGCTCGCCTTGTAACCAAAACGTCCTGCGCTCGAACGCCGGTGGATGCGTACTGCTGAAGAGTCCCAAACTAGGCTGACGAAACAGCTGGCTGTCCAGTACTCCTAGCTGGTTTTCCAATGGTTCTCTAACTGATGTCAGCTCATGATGAAATCCTCCAACCAGTTAAACAAACAAAATCCCTACAAAACCAATACTTGAAAATACAGTGGTATTTTGAATACTTCACTTATAACCTTGTTTGTTTATTTTCCCTCTTCACACATACTGGTCACCTTCCAAGTGGAATTTAGGATTTCAAGCTTAAGCTTTGAATTTTTCGCAGTAGTAATGGTGTTGTTGTTTTTTATGGGGTGGGGCTGCTAGCCTCATACTCAATCTTCTGTCTTTCCCGGGTTTAATACTGGTTAGCAAAATTAGACAAGATTTCGAAGTGTGTCGTCCGGAAGTCGACAAGCATCCTACTACCAGACCACCGACAATACTGTGAAAAAGACTGGAGTGATCTGGTTAGATGTCTTTCCCCCCCCCCCAGTTTGTGAGTCAATAAAGCCCATCTAACCATATACATAACCAGCGTCTCAATACGAAAAGTATCAAGGGATTACTATGTACAGTATCCATTCATTGATGGGAACTGATCACTTCAGTCCTTTATTTTTTGACGTTCAAGTACAACTCTTATGCATCTAAATATCTCAGAAACGTTGACTTCAATGGGTGAAAATGGAAAATCAAAATATCACAAATCTATCAAGAACATCTTCGAAATGTCACTTTCAATACTGATCCCGAATTGACTTCCGTCAGAGATCCGTTGAAAACCAGGGAGTACTGGAAAGCTGCAGGAATCTGATTGATTACAAGTGAAGAACACGAAGGGACATCACGAAATAGCACGGGTTAGAATTCATCGATCACTGGATCTCAGTCCAGTGGCCCAGTGGTCAACAAGCCTTCCTCATAACCTGAAGGTCCTGGATTCCATTCTTGGTGGGTAGGATCATAGATGCGCACTTCGCAAGAAGGAAACTGCTGTCCAGTACTCCATGATGGTTTTCAATAACTGTCTAACTGAAGTCGACTGGTGGTCAGTCTTAAAATTGATCAAATCCCTGCGAACCAACAGTTTAAAATAGAGCTTTAACGTATAATATGTTAATGAACTGAAAAGAGGTGGATTTTTACTTGAAAACTTTGACAAAAGTGAACCAATTCAAATCGCTACAGTTCATGAAAACACAAAAGAAACTACAATAAGTCAACAATTTTAATGACTCCAGTCGAACTGTCCACATCCCCCTCGTACTTGGCCCAGAACGATAGTCATACACCTGATGAATTGATGCCATGTTGCGGTATGACCACCTCTCACCATTTTCTAACCTGATCTCATGTCGGGTAATATTACTGTACGAGGACGGAGAGGGCTTGGAATGCCTATGCGTGTTCTAACCATCTCACTCGACGCCGTTCCCACCTAGCAGTGTGCACTCAATCTCATTACTATTAAATATATTTAACACTCGTATTAATATATGTGTAAACTTGGGCACTGTGGTAATAAGTAATTCCATATTAGTTTGTTTATTAGATGTATCACACAGTGAAACGGTATTATTTACTGGATGACTTTTCGAACAAAATTTATTGTTCATAATCATATCAATTGTGATCACACGACTTTGACACTTGAGTTTTATAGTTTTCTTTGTTTTTTCCTATTTTTCGTAGGGGTAGTAGAATTTTCCAGATATCTGGGACAGGTGATGAATCATTCCTATTACATGTATTTGCAGTTGATTCGATAAACAAAGCTTCTGTTATCAATCTCTCCCTCCACCCTGTGACATTAGATTTTAAAACTGTCATCCTGTCCCATCCTATAGTGTGGTTGTGTGTAATTGCATGTAGTGAGTGCTATAGCTGAACTATTCTCTAGATTTCTTATTTTATTTGGATCAACAAATCTAGATTTTGCTAAGTTTTTATGTTCAGCTAGTCTGACTGCCCCTGTTCTACTAGTTTGACCTATGTATTTGACCTGACAATCATTCCAGCAGGGTATTAGATAAACTAAATTGTTTTGTTTTAAAGGCTCTACAGGATCATTTAACCGACAAAGCTTGTTTCTAATTGAGTTTGTGGGTTTGAATGCCGTTTTTATTCCTGCCTGCGTAAGGCTTCCGAGGTTCCTTCCTTGTATGGAATTACTACTGATGATTTAGATTCTTTATTGTTGGTGTCGCCATTAATATTATTATTATCACTATTATTATTAACATTATTATTATTATCACTATCGCTACTATCATTATTTATTTTATTTTTACATTTCCTTACATATTTCCTGACTAATTTATCAGGGTAATTATTAAGTTTCAAGGCTTCTTTTATGTGTATCAGTTCCTGTTTTAGATTTTCTTTGGTACTAGTTAGTTTTTGTGCTCTGTCATTTAAACATTTCACCAATCCTATTTTTACTGACATAGGATGGGATGATCGGAAGTCCAAATATCTGTTTGAGTGTGTGGGTTTCCTGTAAACACTAGTGTTTACCTTCCCATCTCTTTTCCTCTTTACGTTGCAATCTAACATTGGGAGCTCCCCTTCCTGATTTTCCAATTCATAAGTGAATTGAATCGCTTCAACCTATGAGTTCGTGTTCGAAAAATCTAACTATATCTCGTGTTCTAATTACAGTGAATGTGTCATCTACGTACCTCCATCATACTTTTGGGGTGGGGATATCTGGAAAATTCTACTACCCCTACGAAAAATAGGAGAAAACAAAGAAAACTATAAAACTCAAGTGTCAAAATCGTGTGATCACAATTGATATGATTATGAACAATAAATTTTGTTCGAAACGTCATCCAGTAAATAATACTGTTTCACTGTGTGATATATCTAATAAACAAACTAATATGGATATTTAAAACTCGTTCTTTGATAGATAGCATTCACGAAAATGAAACATACTGGCTTATACCACACCTCAGAAATCAATCCATTACGATTAATGCAACTGCTCAAGTAAATGAAGCAATTGACATGTTGAACCAGTTCACTGCCTGTTCATAAACTAGAAATTGATGCAGGCCAGTCTTGCAACAAATTCATACATTTGACAGGAGTAGATCACATGCCAAACATGCTGAGATTTCCCCCTCGATAGGTTTTAGAAAATTTCTACATTCTGTAAGCATCTTCATCTACATGGTCAAGATCATTTGGATACCGTAGATTTTATCTCGATAAATCACATAGTGTTGTTATACAGTAATATTAACTGATGACCACGTTTCGAGCACAAACTATTGCCACTCATAATCATATCAAGTCAACCACACAACTTTTTACTTCATTTATACACATGAGTGAAATTGATGATTAGACATTTGAATAAAAATCAATACAGGACAATCTACATTCAGGAATAATAATATTAGTGTTATCAATAAAATGCAATCAGATGGGAAATAAGACGAGTGTTTTCATTGTCATTATAAGTAACTTGTTAGAATGTTATGACGCACGTGAAGTGAAATAGAATTTTGAGATTATTCATTATCCTCTTCTGATTTCACTGGCGGTAATAATATCTTCCACATCTCTGGTATTTGCGTTGAGTCATTTCTGTTGCATGTGTTGGGTATAGACTCGATGAACTAGGCAGGATCCGGTAATCAATCTCTCTGTCCACCCACCAATATTACTTTTAAAAATTTTAACCCTCTCTCACCCCATTGTGTGCAATCGCTGAGCTTTTTTCTAAAATTACTTAACTTCTCGGGGTCAACCATTCTTACCTTAGCTAAATTCTTATGGTCCGACAATCTGACTACCCCCGACCTACTAGTGTTAATGGTATAACTATAGATGCCTTATATTCTCTCTTATTTATGTTATCATTATTAGTTTCGCCAATTATTTTTATTTTGCTTTTGACCTTTTGTGATCTTCCTAATGGATTTTATAGGATAGTTAGTTATTTAAAACCAACCAGCTATTCTTCTATCTGTTTTATTTCATCATTTAGGTCTTTTCTTGTGCTACTTAGTGCTATTGCTCGATTTGTTAGACAGTTAACTAAACCTGACTTAACAATTAACGGATGGGATGAATTAAAATCTAAATATCCAATATTTGAATGCGTTGGTTCTTTATAAACGCTAGTGTGCTGTTTACCTTCTTCTGTTCGTTTGATTTTACAATCTAACCTCATAGCAAATTCTCCCTGTTCATTTTCCGATTCAAATATGAATTTTATGTATTTAGAGCAATATTTTCCCAGCTGTCCACAAAGATATCTGCTACGATAGGGAATATTAGTGGTGATCCCATTTCTACACCTTCTGTTTGTTTATATATTTTGACCTGGAATTTAAAGACAGTAGATGTGAGGCATAACTGAATTTCCAAAAAGTAATTTCCTCAGTGGGCAGCTTTTTCCTTTGACTAAGTTCGGGATCAGAAGTTAGTTCCCTGTTAACCACTTCTAAGACAGCCATATTGATTGGTATATTGGTATGTTAAAACAAAAATATACTGACACTTAATTTAAACAAAAAATTAACATACTTTGATTGTTGAATGACTTTTTTAAAATCGATTAAACCACGTTTACGTCTTCTTTTCATGTAAGCTGATACTGACTAAAGACAAAAATAAATTGAAACCAAAAACAAAACAAAAGTAGAAGACAACTACGGTGATCAAAAATTAATCGAATATTAGTTACAGAACCACTGGAAAACCTGGGAGTACTGGACAGCTGTTTCGGCAGTCTAGTTTGGGACTCTACTTCAGTAGTACACACCCACACTGCGGGGTTCAAATCCAGGACTTTCTGGTTGCAAGGCTAGCGAGCTCGTGCACTATTAAGCCACTGGGACCCGATCCAATGGCCATCACATGAATTCTAACTTCTGCCAATTCACGACATACCGCAACCCCTAGCCAATGTCTTCGGCGAGTATTTGTCCTCACACCCGACCTGCTGCACCCTACTGGTCACGACTTCTCACTAGAACTCCAGGTAACTACCTACCTGAATAGGGCCAGTCGCTAGTGAGCATCTCATTGATATTCAAGTCTTGGTTTGTAGGGATTTGATTGGTTACAGGATTTCATCGTGAAATGACATTAGTTAGAGAACCATTGGAAAACCAGCCGGGAGTACTGGACAGCTGTTTCGTCCTAGTTTGGGACTCTTCATCAGTACGCGATCAGTATGATCTCGCCTTGTAACCAGAAGGTCCTGGGTTCGACCCCCGGTGGGTGCGTACTGATGAAGAGTCCAAAACTAGGACGAAACAGCTGTCCAGTGCTCTCAGGTTTTCCAATGGTTCTCTAACTACTGTCAGCTTATGATGAAAATCCTATAACCAATCAAATCTCTACAAACCAACACTTGAATTAATCGAATAATTCCACAATCATTCGGCGCCATGCGAGAAGTAGACATATGTGAAAATTATATTTGAACAAGACGTATATTAGCGAATAATATTGCTGTTTTCAATTAGATCTTCTTCAGGCTTTACTCTAATTTACATAGATTTATATATAGAAAATCTTTTTAACCAATGATGGTGATTTTGTGGATCAAATAATAGTGAGAGTGATAATAAAGTGGTAAATGTTTTGAACGCTAGTTATAACGATGATTAAAGTGATAACAACTGAGCAGAAGATAGGATGGTTCACTGAAAGAGAGATGTCTATAGAAAACCTTCATCTGTAGGACAATATACAGATTTCCTCAGTTTTGTACCAATCCTATACAAAATCAATTTGGCAAAAATATTCATTCAGACATATCTATAAAACACAAAATCATCGAGCAAAGAATATTCTTTTCGATAAATTCCTCTTCCGGCTCTACATTTATATATATGTTTATATACATAGAATATTTTAAATTAGTAGTCAATAACAATATTAGTGTTCTTGCGTTCGGGAGTAAACGACAAACTGCCTAATTTCTCCTCTTCTATGTGTATATACCAATTTAACTCCTCCTGTGGAGCCAGTTACATAGGCCGTACAATTAGGCGTGTTTCTCGTCGAATTTCCAAACATCACCCTACATGATTAAGCAGAGGACAAACAAAATCTATTCGCAGCGCAATTCTATCTCATCTTGTGGATGCAGAACACAAGATTGACGTTAATCATGCTTTCAGGGTCATTTACCGCATACCTACGAACCTCAATTTTGCCTTAAGAGTTCGACTACTAAATATTGCTGAGGCTGACTGTTGGGATCCATATTAACAAGCCTAATTTGTGCATCCAAAAGAAGCTAGTTCAGACATTATCATTACCCCGTTGGCCATCTAGGTTTGAATGATCCTGAATTTTTGTGGAATTTTCCTAATTTTAGTTGATATTCTATTTGCTATTATATTTTTTATTATTATTATTATAATTTAAGCATCTTTAATGAACTATAATTGCACTGATCATACTTCACAAATCGATATTATTTAAAAAGACACTAATATTGTTATTGACTACTAATTTAAAATATTCTATGTATACAAACATATATATATAAATGTAGGGCCGGAAGAGAAATTTATCGAAAAGAATATTCTTTGCTCAATTATTTTGTGTTTTATAAAATCAATTTGGTCAGATGTCTCACGAATATAGCAAGACCGATCTGTACAGATGACTCCCTAGAAAATGAGTTAGGATACATCCAAAATACGCTGGTCCAAATGGGTTATCCTAGTACATTTGTAAGGAGACAGGCATAAGAACACCAGGTACAATAAAGAGAAATTGACAACAGATAAAAAGAAACCACCGTTCATGAAATTTCAATTTAATGGGGACTTTCTTTTATTGGACACTAGTCAGTAACTAGTGCGATGTGTCTGGTTAGTCCTTTCTTTGGTGCAGACTGAATTCGATCAGTCAGTCAGGTTTGCAATGTGGCCACCATTCCACTAGGTAGCTCACCATCACATCAAATCTATTCACCTTAGAAGTGTACGCTGTTACATCGTCATTGGAAACAGTATCTCTAAACAAGAACACAAAGATAGTGTTTATACATAACCTAAGCATAAATATCAAATATATTTCGCGCAGACACTTCAAAATTTGGATAGCGAACGCTGAGTACGGCCGATATACCTGGCTCCACATGAGCAGGGGAATTGGTAGATGCACATAGATGAGGCCAACAGCTTTCTGTTCTTCAACAACTGCCACCCTGCGATTCAGTTCACACTAAAGAAAGAGTCTAACTCAAAGATATCTTTTCTTGATGTTCAACTAACGAGACGCCAACAAGACGGGACATTAAAAAGATCCATCTACAGAAAGCCAACGTGGAACGGACAGCTCACTAACTTCCACAGTTGGGTGCCTCTATATACTAAACGAAACCTAATCCGTTCATTAAGCCACAGATTACGTAGAATTTGAAGCCTGGACGCCATAGAAGATGAAATGAACACTCTTAAGAAAATCCTCCTTGAAAATGGCTATCCAGAAACATTTATCACAAAATCAACCAGAGAAGCCGCCCACACCCAGTGCTCCAAAAAAACTTCTCTATATGAACCTACAGTTCAATGGAGACCAATCTACAGAAATACTGAGAAATCGGCTCTCCCGCTCATTGAAGAAAACCTTCTTTGCAGCTGAATTACGACTGACGTTCTCCACGAGACCACTGATTCGCATGAACGTGAAGGATAAGCTACCGCTGTTGGCCTCATCTATGTGCATCTACCGATTCCCCTGCTCGTGTGGAGCCAGGTATATCGGCCGTACTCAGCGTTCGCTATCCAAACGCGTCAACGAACATTTACCTTCATGGTTTTATAAAGGAGAAAACTTCAAAATTTGCCAAAAACAAAAGAGTATACGGCTTCATTGTACTCACCTGTACAGCTGGATAAACATTAGATTTTTCATTAACTCGAACATGTTTAGGTCGTAGTGGTTGACAACTTTTCTCAGCTGATTCACTCGTCAATACATATGTGTTTAAATTATCTGAATGAATAAAAACAACAACATTGAAAGTTATATGACAATATGAGAAAATTTAACTCCCATATCTCCATGGTGATTCTTCTTAACATATATATATTTTAAATTATACACATACAAGTCGTTGTATAGGTATCAGAATGACTAGTGTTAATTGTTCTTTGGTCGTGAACTTACTTCATTGAGAGGTAGATTTCTTCGATAGTTGCATCAGTTTCTTTAATGCTGCTGACACACCACGTTGACGAGTGCCACCAGGCATAAAACCTAGGTCCAGGGTTTCCTACCAACTGTCTTCAACCACTTAACATCAATTCAGAGCGTACCTCTACGGCTAGGTCTCCGAACTTGGTCACCGACTACATGGTAAACTTGACTGGTGGAATCCAATCAGCATCAACACTGAGGACTAGACATATGAGATTGTTTGACCCAAATTACCGATAAATATATCCATTACATTTCTACAGGAAGCCAGTCGTAAGTCCTAATGGCTCTACAGTAAAGCATCTAACTGAAGCATTGGTTGAACTAGTTTTGGGTCTTTGAAGGGACTTCACTTCCTTCGAGACTGCAGATATGCCTTTCTGACAAGTGTCAACAAGCATGAAACCTAGACGGAGTGGTTCATATCAATGATCCCCAACCGCCTGACATGTGAGAGTGACTATAAACTAAGAGGTCCTGAAGATAATTGAAAATGACTGTTAGAAACTGGAGGTTGCAGCGTAAAATGGACATCACAGACAAAGATTTGTCTACATTACGTTGACTTCTTACTTCTTCATTTCTCCTCTCTGGATGACTTCTAAGTAGGGATACAAATATCATGTGTGATAAGTCATGATTATATACAGCTATACTTTTCGACCTCTCTTGTTAACATTAGCCAATTATGCAACCATCTGTCCACGCCCCTACTTTCACACTACAGCCAACAGAATATCACCTTGGCTAATCATACTTGTGAACAGGATGATACAAAAAATAATCTAGAAGAAGGGCTTGACAGACATTGATTTACTTATTACTGTGAGATATCCTTATTCAATTGGGCATTCTACCACACTGCATCACAGTTGACTGTTACACTAAAAAAGGACATACATATATTGCTACAACACGACATATGTTAATCATTTCACCCATCGTTATCATTATTGTTTCCTTTAGTTCTTAGAGGAACATAGGGCTTTAACCGCACGTCCCCATTGCGTTCGGTCCTCTGACAACCTTTTCACCTGGCTCCACACCTGCCCACATGCTTTCATCTCCTCTTCACATCACTTCCTCTATGTCACCAGCTCGCCGCTTCCCACTCGGGTTTGACTCGAGCAATGGCCTGGTGTGTGATGTCACTCACTTGGTAGTTTGTTTTCTCAGAGTATGGCCACAATCCAACCCACCTCCATTTCTTCCTGCATACTTCTTGCACAATCGGTTCCTGATGGGTTGGGTTGGTTCGCTCACTGCCAGAGATCCGTGTTGCTGATCTTTTCTGGCCAGCTATCTGATCTTGAATAGTATTAAGCGAAGACAGCTGTTGATGATGAACGTCTGTAGTTTTTTCGAAGTGCCCTTCGTGACGCAGTGCCGCACCAAGTCTCTGATCCGTATAGTAAGAAGCAATGACTTCACATTGGAGTTGAAAATTCGGATCTTATTTTTCATGCTGAGTACTGAGTGTTGATCTCTACACAGACTTGAGAGAAATAAAATCTTGCCTTGCTTTCCTGATCCGTGTTTTGATATCCTCGTCAGTTCCGCCCGTAGTTGAAACGATGCTTCCCAGGTAGGTTGGTAGGTGGAGGAGGTTGCTACTTTCAGATTTCTCCCATTTATGGTGATTGTTGTCTGTTGCTGTTGCTGCTATTGTTGGCCAGGAATATTCGTCACCTCTTTTTTCTCTATGTTCACCTGAAGTCCTATCTTTGATGCTTCTTCTAACGCCAACTTTGTCACTTTTCACTTGCATTTTTTCCATTTTGTGGGAGACCAGACATATATCATCGGCGAAGTCCAGATCCTCCAAGTTTTTTGTGTGATTCCATTTTATGCCCGTTTCCTCGCTGTCCGCTGTCTATCGCGTTATCCAGTCTACCGCAGTCAAGAAAATCATTAGAGACAGTGTGCGACCTTGTCTTACTCCCGTTTTCATTTCAAAGGATTCCGTGAGTTTTCCGCTGTGGATTAATTGGCATGGAGCATTGTCGTACAGCTGTTGGATGAGGTGTATAATTGTTGGCGGCACCCAGTAGTAGCGAAGTAGTAGTCGAATCACCTCTCGATCGGCGCTGTCGAAGGCCTTTTTAAAGTCAATGAAGTTGAGATAGAGAGGTGACTGCCATTCCAAACTCTGTTTAATGATGATCCGTAGTGTTGCGATTTGATCGATGCAGAACTCTTTTCTCCTGAATCCAGCCTGTTCCGGTCGAATGTTTTCATCCAGTGCGCTTTTTGATTCTCTCCAGGATGATGCGGCTTAGTATTTTGCTTGGGATGGACAGGAGCGTAATTCCGCGCCAGTTCTTGCATTGACTTAAGTCTCTTTTCTTTGGCAGTTTGAATAAGTAGCCTTTCTTCCACTCAGCAGGTACCTTGCCCTCTTTCCACACCTTCTCCAGTAGTGGTGGCGTCATGAAGTCCGCTGATGTCTCTGGGTTCTTTGTTAATACTTTTGCTGGGATTCCGTCTGGTCCTGCTGCTTTACCAATTTAAACACAAAGATCCATCACTATCCAATCGAGCCTTCATAGGATGTTTAACACATAGACAAAATTTAGTTACATATTAGATCACAAAGTGACATCAGTACATCATTGAAAACGAAGAAGCACTGGACAGCCGTTTCGCCTTAGTTTGGGCCTCTTCAATGGTACTCACTAATGGCTGACTAAAAAAGGAAGTTGCTTGAAGTTCCAGTGAGCAGTAGTGACCATTCTGGTCCACCGTCTTCGGTTTGAGGACAAATTCTCGCTGGATGTGGTACTATATATATCACAAAATAGCAGGAGCTACAATTTATCAACCATTGGTTAACGGAATCACATTATAGTCTAAAGGTTATTGGTTCAATCCCTACAAGAGGTGGTGCGTAAGTACTGCTGAAGAGTCCCGAACTAGGCGGAGACTGCTGTCTAGTTCCTCCTGCTGGTTTTCATTTGGTTCTCTAAATGAAGCCAGTTTATAATCTAACTTAAAATCAGCCAAGTTTCTGATAACTAACCCCTGAACACTTGATGATTCCAAAGCAAACTCAGTGACAAAAAGTTTGAAACGCTGCTTTATTATTTTTGGGTGCAATTAGGTGGAACAAACCACAAGTTCTAGACCGACCACGCACACTTAGTAAGGAGATTCAGGTCATTGGATTAAGTATTCGATTACCAGCCAAACTGTCTTCAATTTTAATTTCGAGCAGTGTTATCAGACTTCATGAAGTAGGTAAATGAAACGTCCATTCTAGGTGACTGACTTCACTTGAATATTAAGACCAGTACCACCTTTTCATGTTTTCTGAAAAGTAACGAACCCCAGGTAAAGTTCAGTGTTTTTTTTTCATTTCCTGCATTTCAAGTGTAACACAGAATTTTAAGCTGTTGCTAGTCTCACATTGTCAAACCTTACATCTTTCCCTGGATTACTGTCGGTTTGGAGGAGTTTAGAAGTGCATCGGTGGGAAAACTGAACCTGGACCAATTGTATGGTTGGCAAGCATTCCATCCTTCAACAACCAACACTCTAAAATCTATAGTTACTTTGATAATAAAATATTTAAGCGCTTAAAAGTGATTTAAATAAGACATCTTAGCTATACTTGCTGAACGTTCAAATGTCAAGCTAGTATACATAATCAGAACTGTTTAGCGATACAGATAAATATAATTATTTAATAATATGTACGTACTTACCCTTTAACAATTCTTCATTTTGATTTTCAACACCTCTACTACTTTCATCTGCTTCATAACCATAAAGTACATTCTGTTGATCAAAAGAGTAAAAGTAAGAGAATAATGATTTAATTTTTAAACAATCACATTCTATCACCATGGTAACTAATTTTTCATAGAATAAACAGGAATATTTACAATACAAGATGTCATATTTCACTAAAGAGCATAAAAATCACAAAAAATCATTAGAAAGTGGAAACAACAATAAGAACAAACGAACATTTTGATAAAAATAAGGCACTTGTATTGTCATGTTATTTGTTCGATGAAGACTGACAGTAGAATTCACGACACACATTTCGTCCTCCTTCAGACTTGTTAGCATCAGTGATAGGATGTAAGTCCTTATTTTCAAGCACAGGTATCTTCCTCTTTCAACAGTCGGCTATAAAAAAGGAAGAAGTTAATTGTTGCACAGTACACGAGTCCTTTGATGGACAGATGGACATCATACCAACTGTAAAGACGCGACAAGATGGTAAACGCTAGATAAGGCTTTTGTATCCTTTTCGGGGTTTTGTCAGCAATCAATCTTCAAGTGTTGGTTTGTAGGGATTTGATTGGTTTCAGGATTTCATCATGAGCTGACATTAGTTAGAGAACCATTGGAAAACCATGAAGGAGTACTGGAAAGGTTTTTCGTCCTAGTTTATGACTGTTCAGCAGTACGCACCCACCAGGATTCGAACCCAGGACCTTCTAGTTACAAGGCGAGCTCGTAGACCATTAAGCCACTGGGACCCAATCCAATGGCCCATGAATTCTAACTTCTGCCAATTCACGACATAGCGCGACCAGTAGGGTGCAGCAGGTCGGGTGTGAGGACAAATACTCGCCGAAGACATTGGCTAGGGGTCGCGCTATGTCGTGAATTGGCAGAAGTTAGAATGCATGGGCCATTGGATTGGGTCCCAGTGGCTTAATGGTCTACGAGCTCGCCTTGTAACTAGAAGGTCCTGGGTTCGAATCCTGGTGGGTGCGTACTGCTGAACAGTCACAAACTAGGACGAAACAACTAGTCCTTCATGGTTTTCCAATGGTTCTCTAACTAATGTCAGCTCATGATGAAATCCTGAAAGCAACCAATCTATTAGGAATGATTTAACTTCCTAAATAATTGAAATGGTCAATACATTCAACCAGTTCACTATATATCCTTAAATTAGGAGTTGGTTCAGAACAGTGCAAGAGGATTATCTCACATCTGAATGGGTCGAACTGTATGCATATTGTTAGTATCTTTACCTAGAAGTACAATAACATTTTTATATTCCCGATTGATAAGGGTTTCCTCAAGTAGAATATCATTTACTGAAGCATCAAAGGTAACCAAGGTCACATGAGCACATCTATGACACCTTTAGCGGACATCACTTGTTGTCGTCACTTCAAATGACAATTTTCCACAAAGGTGAAAGTTTGACCAAAATATATTTTTCCTACCCTAAATTCTGTCTGTTTTCTCTCAATATAGTTACTGAAGAGAGAAATTAAACGAACCACAACAGCTCAGTTCTTGACCACCTTGTCCTTACATATCATTCTATGAGTAACGCTACAGAAATCTTTCAAAATGATATATTAGGTAAGGATAAGTCGTTCATAGGGTTTATAGCCGAATCTTCTGTCCATAGCAAAGGCTCTTGCTACGCACAGGGAAAACCCTGAGCTGTATGTACATCAGGGTTTTGTCCAATCTCTTTCAATATCGTGGCTTTAAACCTTTTCTTGACCTTTACAGTAATCTGGTGTTCAGTCTATCTTGATTAGTTTTTGGGTTTTCTCTTTCTTTTCAAACTTTTGACTTTGAGATATACCTGATGCATATTCAGAATCTCTTACTTCTATGAACATTATTGCTGCTGCCAAGCGCTAAGAGTTTTAGTGAGCGATATTCATCGCTGAAATTTTTTCAGATCACTCAAGTCTATTGAACTAGTTCAAATGAAATGTCGTCAAGATTTGACAGAATAGTTCCAAAATATTTGGGCGCCGAGTGAGAAGTAGACATTTGCAAAAAATTATATTTGTAAAGTCTCAGTGAGATTGAAATGGGTAATTCCAACGTTTCGTTCGGCAATCTGGTTCGAACTTCTTCAGGGAAATTAATCGAAATTAACATAACTGAAATTGCTTATCACATTCGTGTTGATTTTGTCACTTCATGGGGAGTGGGGAGCTGTTGTAACCAGGTCAGATTCTGTTTTAGTCAATCATTCCTATTCAGGCAATTTGGATTCCACATGATATGAAGTGCTTCTGATATTAGACGTTCTTTATGATTTCTGAAATGCTTTTTCTGGATTATATAATAATCATAACAATAAATATAATTTTACACACTGATCATATCCAACAATCTATACTTGGTTTTGTTATCTTTACCAATTGGCCAACTTGACGACGAAAATTGACCCCAGACTAACGAACGATGATCAAGTTAGTAAATTTTATTTTGATACCATAACAGACATACTATTACCTTTGTTATTTAGTTTAGTGGTCTTCATTTTTATTTTGACTTTCAATATTTCCCTTTAACTTGACCTAAGTCTATTTTCTCATCTCTTAACTCTTTGTTATATATATGCTGAGTAATTCAAATGAACTGTCGTCAAGATTTGACAGAATAGTTCTAAAATATTTGGGCGCCGAGTGAGAAGTAGACATTTGTAAAAAATTATATTTGTAAAGTCTCAGCGAGATTGAAATGAGTAATTCCAACGTTTCGTTCGGCAATCTGGTCAGAACTTCTTCAGGGAAATTAATCAAAATTAACATAACAGAGGTTTTATATATAAAAGGCACATCTTTTTAAAAACTTTGTCCAATCATGATTCATAAACACAAGTATTAACAAGTATAATAAACAAAATTGTATGAGCTGTGATCAAAATTTGACCTCGGACTTACAAATATTGGTCCACCTTTGTTAAATACTTTAAACAGAGTGTGCATGCGTGTGTGTGTAAACAGTCGTAAAACATTTCTTAACGTCTCCATAGGAAGATATAGACAGTCAGGAATTTGACCAAGTATTATTAATTAGTGATACATATCCATTTTTATTTATTAATCAGGATTTCCTATGCATCAGCTAACATCACGCCTTCACGTCTGTTCAAACTGTTAGTATCTACAATTTTATGATTCGATGTATTTTCAAAATAATGGTGTTTAGGATTAGAGTTTAGTAGAAGCACCCTGTATACTTGTTGATACTCGTTGAATAACTCATGATTGGACAAACTTTTTAAAAACAAGTTCCTTTTTATATATAAACCTCTGTTATGTTAATTTCGATTAATTTCCCTGAAGAAGTTCGAACCAGATTGCTGAACGAAACGTTGGAATTACTCATTTCAATCTCGCTGAGACTTTACAAATATAATTTTTTGCAAATGTCTATTTTACTAGGTTTCATAATTTATTGATTATATTTCTTGATAGGCAATTTCGTATATTCTATCAACTACTGATATTAACAAATGACCTTCAGAGACGGTTCCATGACCTTTTAGAATGACATATAACGGCATAACTTTGCAGAAAAGTTACCAAACAATATTCTTTGCTAAACTATGTATTTTTTAATTACTCGGAACTGTTTTTACCGATCACCATATAGTCTCTGCAGTTCCATGGAATCTAGAATCTTTGATATCATACTAGTCAAGCTAATCCTCCTGTGGTTGTCACAAGAATATTTGCTGCCTTGCTTATTTTAAAAGGATGATCAATTACCGATATCAGTCCAACGAAACTATCTCGGATTCCAATAGGCTAACTAGTACCTTGGTTAATCTAACTGATGGACAAGCACTATCATCATCACTGGACAACCATGCAGCGACACAAGGACTGCATCCAAATGACCTATCCCCTTAAAATCGCATACACCATTCAGGGGTAGACAATTAAACTTGTCGTTTTACTTCTTTGCATTCTCTCCCGTCTTACTCTCCTGACAACTTTAACTACACCTATTATTATCATTATTACCGATATAAATATATTGTCCATATTATTCTCCAAATTTAATCAGCTGACTGTTGTTACGTTTTCTTATTATTTCTCTGTCTGTTAGTCTGAATAACTTCACTAATTATATCCATTATTATTATCTGTTTTCTTTTGACGACGATACCGGAGAACTAACTGGTGCAAGGATCAACTCCATTCACAGTAGTAACAGTCTTAACATACCTCATACTACAAACCACACAAAATGAATCCCAGCACTACTCCTTTTAGAGTCAACCAAAGCTACGACAGTCGAGTGGCGGGACGAGCTACGCAGAAGTTTACCGCAGATGAGGAACCTATACCTCACAATCAAGAGGCGAGCACGAAGAAATCAAATTGGTTTATACTAGCGCGTAAAAACGATAATGGATATTGGATATATATCCAATATCCATATGTGTACATTCCCATGATCATTTATATATGTATGTAAACAAATGTACTTACAGGCCTCTGAGGTATATATCCAAGTATTTCGGTGACGAGTTTTGGTGCCTCAATTATCAAAGGATAACCAAGCTCCCTGTAGGGCTTATTTATAGGGGCATATAATCCCTCAGATTGCTTTTGGTAGCATCTTCTCTGATAATTATTGCTCCGAACCTTTAAATAGCTAAAAACTACTGAAAAACTCACTTCATCCCTACAGGGAGGTGAAAATGAGCAAATCTCATGGTTTCTTGCTTGAACTTTAATATGATGACTCATTTGTAACGGCGCTTGACTCTGGCGTCATCGTTGCTCGTATTTAGGGCTTTCAAACAAAGTTCGTCTAACGATTCAATAGCTAATATCGTTTTTGAAGAGCTAGTGTAAACCAATTTGATTTCTTGGTGATATATTCTTGGGCCGACGTTAGTTAAGTGTGGAAAGGCCAAATTTCTTTAGCCGTTTATTATATGGCTTGTTTCGTAGACCCAACACACCTTTGGTCTCCCGTCTTCGGACTCTTTCCAAAAGGTTTGCGTCTCTTCCAAGCAGTTGGGATGCACTTATGTTTCGCACTTAAAGGCACGGTCTGACGCATATTTTGTACAACCTTAGAAGGCGCTCAGGAGTGAGTGCACCTAACTCTCTATGCGTAGAATCTACCATCACAAACGCCCTTGTCACATCCTCCGTGTAATTCACACTTGTGTGCATTTTGTCTGCTGGAACTAGATCCCAGCCGCGCTTCGACAGTGTGCAGGACAAGATTTTGTTGTACGGAATATAACCTGCATTCCGCAGTCTACATGTACGTAAATGCACTACTCGACACGTTTTCAGGGTGAAAGTCTTACCACTGACCACCGCCCAGTCTTCCAGAAGTTTCAGGTATTCATGCAGCCTATCTGAGTCTTCCGAACAATTTATTGCTCTCTAAATCTTTAAGTCGTCAGCCTAAAGAGTCGGGCAGCTTGAACAGCATGATAGGTCATTGATAAGAGTCAGTATCGCCAGTGGCCCCAGGATAGAGCCCTACGATAGTCCTGATGAAGAGCTGTGCAGGATAATCAGACACGTTTGACCTTATTGCTGAATTTCCTTTCATCCACGTAGTCCTCCAATCATGACAGAAGCGATCCATCTTTACCTACCTGGCTTATTTTCTTTATGGGAAGGTAATGGTGAACTGTGCCAAATACCTCCTCAAATTCATTGTGTATGACCACGAAAGTGGAGGGCATCAATTCCATTGACTCCGTTACCATTTGCCTTTCAGATCAAGGCCTTTGTCTTGTTCCTATGTTGGAATTTCTGCCGATAGCCAATATTTGAGTCAGTAACAGCATTCTTTTGGTCTCTTTGGCAAGGCCCGATTTTTCCCTTTACGGAGACGGCTTACCTTGAGGTGTCTGGACACCCCCGTACAGTCAGCACAATTTCGCCGAATTGACTGATTGACTGCACAGGGTAGACCGCCGTCCCTGCTGAAACAGAGCTTCTCTTCCAAGCAGACTACTGTTGTAAACTAGTAACTTGATATGATTATGAGCAATAATTTGTGCTCGAAACGTCATCAGTTAATATTACTGCGTAACACTGTGATTTACCAAAAAATCTCATCCATAACAGAATAAAGGGGTTCGATAAACTGATTTCAGATTTAAATTTGGCCTTTGGCTGCTTGTCCTCCTTTGTAGGGTCGGTTACTTTAAACTTCATCAGAGTCCGACTAGTCTTTGTTATGTTGCCATGCTTGCTAGTGGGTGCAAGTTGTCCTTTGGCAATTCCGGCTTCCCCTGATGTTCTCAGTGTAACTTTAGAAATTTCCAACTTATGAAGATCGACACCTGCAGTCGGTTGGGCTAAAGTATCCCGTTTACGGTTTTACTAAGTTTTGGTGATGCGATGTTGTCAGGCAGAGCGCTTCATGAAACTTTGTGGAGACAGAAAAGTGGCGTGCTGCTTCTGTTATCCAGGGACACGTGTGAAACTGCGGGGCGACAAGGTGGACATATGTACTAGAACCACGGGCACGGGTTATTTCGCATAAACTCTGATTATGGTTCCGACACTACTTTGTCACAGCGGCAGTGCACCCACCGTTCGCGAAAATTGCATTCGAATGCTAAGTCACTTCTAGAAACAGCAACACTACAGGCCTGACAGCCGTCTCTTTTTCTAGAAGATGTCTTCGTGACCTCATGACGTCTTGAGCGTATATTTTTAGTTTTGCCGTGCAGTGCACACTGGCTTTCTGTGGACACAGGTACGGTTTGGTGTCTGCTCAGTTTCGTCTGCGCAGTTTCACTGCTGGCCTGTAGTAATGTAGGCATACTATCACAGTAGGGGATATGTGCACGGGTCTTAAGAACCACTACTCGAGATGCGATTAATATCCCTAGGTTGTTTCCTCCTCTAGTTAAAGCCCTATTCTCTAAGAAATATAGTGTCTTAGAGCTCGTTTTAGGGCTAGTTTTAGTCGTCATATTACAAATTATCATCAATTATGCTCATTCATGAATAAAAGATAGCAATATCATCTGCCCGATAGAACAAGAATAAATAGTTATATATATGTCCAAACCAAGTTAACTTTTAACAGTTTGAAAAATTTGGGCACTGCGTATAAGATATTCATTATAATAAATGCTTTTTGTACAAAAAAACCTTTATTATATTGAAGAATAAATAAACTGATAAAGTATTAGATAAGATTAATAAAAGGTTTCCGACCTTAACTGGAACTTTTAGGCTAGTCGGCCGCACAGCAGTGACGTGGCAGACCAATAGGTCTTGTTCTTCTGAACGAGAGAGGAAGATGCCGCTACAGGTATAGCTCCTGAAGCTTTGACAGTAGTTCGAGACAGATGGTCTTGCGGCGCAGAGATTTGATATGGGAGTAATGGTTCAATCCAGTTCACCGGCTAGGAAGATCAGGTTTCGCGAGCATATAATTCGCAAAATAAGTATTTCCCGGTTAGAGAGAAAACAGTAGCAAATTATCGTTTTCTAGTAGGCCTGTGTTAATATTCGTGGGGATCAGAACTTTAATTTATTTTCACCGTCCCTGTACATTACAAACAGTTGAAAGCCATATCCCCTGCTTTACTCACTGCTTCTGCTCTGACAGAAAGATCATTTATTCATAATCATCCCCTTCAGGGCCCTTATCTATTGGATGGCAAACTTCTCTTAACCATTAAATTCCAGTCAAACTTCTATTCTGTTCTTTCAGTTGAAACCGACAAGTGCCATCACTTTTGGTTAAACCTTTGTAGCATCACTTTATTTATATGTCCGGATAAATATGGGCCTGCTACTTGATTGTCATATGACTCAAGGCAAAGTGGGAAATCTTCCTCCTACATAGACTTTTCCAATTACTGTATCTTTATTCCACTGAACAACTAAACCTTTATGCTCATCAACTTGTATAAGCAGCTAGAGTGTGTCATCTCGAAGTAAGACAACTGACCCTGTCTAATTAAAGTCTACCATTAAACTCTGACATACACGGTTTGATCATAGTCATACGCAAACCATGCGATAAACAATCAACGGATCTAAGTGCGATAGCTATATCCCCACTGATACCTGTTCCGCAGGTCTGAACCACTATCCAAAACTCAAGCAGCGTGTCACAGTCAAAATTTTCGGCAATGACCTACTCAGGTAGATGCCAAATAATGCCCATGCTTTATGATAATATATTTATTCCCATCTTTGTAGGAGCACACCAATTTTGAAGGCATGGATAAGCATAAATTAAATTACCTTAATCTGGTTAATGACGAATTTACATGGTTGCCGTCATTTTTGGCTTTGATTTGTGGAAACAAACTGTTAAATAGTCATTCAATGGAGCATGTTAAGAAATATAGGGATATTGTCTTCTCATTAACGAAAAACCCAAGTACGTGTTGGAGAAAAAGCCTGAAGCCACTTCCCCCATATAGCTTTGCTGTGTACGGCATCGAGTCTTATTCTTGATCTATATCCAGATAATGCTCAAAGCCGGCTGAAATCACCCTGTAGAAGACGATATTATGAGTGTAGAAGGCTAACAGTGAGATTGAATAAACAGAACAAACAGAAGTTAAAGCTACATGTTTCATTACAGGACAATTAAGACAAAATAAGGTACACAGACGATAAGATGAATGTACAAAACGTGCAATGTTTGTGGGACTGTTATAACCCAACTAGATGTAATCAGTCTAACGCATGAATTTGCACGAACCTCTAATTTTTTCACAGTAGCAGACCATTCACTGTAGGGTATTAACCAGTAATGCGTAGGTAATATCGGCCAACAGTGGATTTTATGGATGGCAAATCCTAGAAGTAATGAGGTAAGGCAGAACCCTTCCTGCTGTCTTCTGACTAGCCTTATTTTGCTGGGTCTACCACGATGTATATTATAGTGCCCCTTTGGATATACTTCTTAGTCGGGATGAATCATGTTTGTTAGTGCTTTCCGTGGCGTAAATACGTCGCACCTAGTTCTTCAGCAGCTGAATGCATACAGATTTTGAACTTTGCACCATCTAACAGTTGTCATTTTAGGCTTAGTTTCCCTCCCCCGTGCATTTTTTAAGAGAGTGGAGTCTCTTTGCAAGAATGGTGGCGCAATCATGTTTGGCTTTACTTTTTGGCGAAACTGCATGAAATTTCCAAGTGCAGTTGCACCTAGATGCCTGCATTAGAAAGAGAAGCCTTCGGTAGCTTTTCCTGCATCTCCTGGGAAAGTAACAATTATGCCCAGCTTTTCAGAAAGAAATAGACTGAAGTCGAAGTTCATCTCTTTAGATGAGGTTGTTTTCATGCAAGCAGTAGGAGTTTTCTTATTCTTCTCAACCAGGTGTCTGTTAGTGATGAGGAAACTGGAGCGCAGCAGAAAACTTGCTGAAATACCGTTTGTGCAGCCATGATCATATTTCACAAGTACAACTTTAAACTGAACACTGTTTTACGACATAAATATTGAAAAAATGAAAAATTTCTAGAAACTTTATAAGAAGTTTGAAATGTTTACTTTTAATCGAATAATTTATGATATTTTGGTTTAAGTCTAAATTTAAACCGTAAATATACATATAATCAATCAACTTCATGCTGGAATTACAAAAGATTGTGTTATTGGAAGGCAAGAAGAAAGAGGAAGGCGGTATATTCAGATTCGAGGTCATGATGGATTTCTGTGTCGACTTGTTGTGTTTTCATGAATTCGTTCGCCATTGAAATTTGAAAGTTTCTTAGATGTTTCGCATATTTTGAAGTGTCGAGGTCACTTTCTGTCACTGGATGCT